ATACAACCTTTTATAATAAAACAAAGGAACTACCGTTTGGGTTTCGTTACTTAAAACCCAAATATAAATATGTGTGAACGGACTGGTTAATTGGACAAGCAGCCGATTCAGTGTGGGGTAGGTGTGGGAGGAGGTGTGGTAGGGTGTGGGAGAGGGGTGGTGTGGGGAGGTGGAGAGGGTGGTGTGGGAGGGTGGGAGGGTGGTGGGGAGGGTGTGGGAGAGGTGGTGTGGGTGGGTGGAGAGGGTGGTGGGGAGGGTGTGGAGGTGTGGGGGTGGGGAGGGGGGGAGGGAGAGGGGTGGTGTGGTAGGTGGAGAGGGTGGTGTGGGAGGGTGTGGGAGAGGGTGGTAGGTGTAGAGGTGGTAGGAGGGGTGTGGGTCGGTAGAGGGGGTGTAGTGGGTCGTGGTAGAGGGAGTGTAGTGGGTCGTGGTAGAGGGGTAGTAGTAGAGGGGTGTAGTGGGTCGTGGTAGAGGGGGTGTAGTGGGTCGTGGTAGAGGGGGTGTAGTGGGTCGTGGTAGAGGGGGTGTAGTGGGTCGTGGTAGAGGGAGTGTAGTGGGTCGTGGTAGAGGGAGTGTAGTGGGTCGTGGTAGAGGGGGTGTAGTGGGTTGTGTTAGAGGGGGGTGGCCAATTCGTTATACAGTGAGTCTAGAAGACCCAGAAATAGGCTTTCAAATAATATATAATATGAAGGGCCGGATTATAGATATAACATGTTAAAGTTAACCCTTTAAGTACCACAGGCAGATTTTAAGTACACTAGTTCCAAAACGTTTCTCTTTTTCCATCAAAATATGAAAATCAAATTTATTTTTTGTTCTTTATAAGTTGATTATATGATGTAGTTCTTGTTTTTGACAGTGAAATTGCTTGGTAAATTAAAATAAGACCCAAAATTTATATTTGTGTGTAAAACCTGGATTTTTTATCACAAAAATATAGATTTCCAAGTAATTAAACACATCAAATGTTTAATATATAATTGTAATGAGAACACATATTGTATTATAAGCACATTAGATATACAGTACTGTACTTGCAGGCACATTACGTATATGATTACATGCATAATATATGATGTATGCAAATTAGATAACTTTCCATCACCTTTATTTCTCTCTACTTTTATACGTTGTTCAGCTAGGAGTGCCAAGCAAGTTGCAACAAAAATAATTTATGTTGCAATTTGTTCCAACTCAAACCACAGATTGACAAAACTATAATCCCACTCCCTGACAACGGGTGACCTGACATTGCATGAGACTACCAATCCCCCACCCCACCTCCACCTGACATTAATCAGGTCAGTAACACGAGACCCTCCCCTACCACACCTCCCTCGCAAAATTTCCTACTTTTTTTATATAAAATAATTGAGTCCCCCGTCATTATTATCATGTTTTTGTAACTGAAGTGAGCAGCGTAACTTTGAAAATGTCTGGCAGATGTTTAGCTCACCATCTTTAAGGCCAAGATGAAGGCTACACCTCCAGTTCCCACTCTTCAGATTCCTCAAGGTCTGTGTGTGACTCAGGTTGATGTCTCTATTCCACCTTAAGAGTCTCCTTAGTCCTCAAGGGAACATATAATGACTACCAGACTTGTTCTTAATGATGTGAGTGTTGTTTAATTGTTTTGTACTTATACTAGTAGTGTAGGTTATAGTGATCCCGATTTACGATATTTCGACCTGCGATGGGGTTTTCAGGAATCTAACCCCATCATAAATAGAGGTTTACTTGTATTTGACATTACTTTACCATTAACTTTTAGTCCTTCATTATCACTTATACCTTCTCTCATTAAGAATTCTTAATACTGTATATATTATACAATACTGGAGATAGAACAGCCATGTTTTACTGTAATTGTGAACCAATTAGTAAGTTCATTATTTACTAACACTGCAGCCTCCTGTTGTCCGTATATAAATTCTGCAGGCTTGTCTTATTAAACTTATTGTTCTAAACTGGGTGCACTCTAAGACTCCTGGTTTTTAAGGTAATATTAATGCAAATACTGTACACTTATCCCTCCATATCTGTGAACTTGGTAGGTGTGCATCTTCCGCACACACTCCGAGGTTAGTCAGTTCTCTCGTGTGTGATGCACCGTCTTCCCCCTTCTCGCTCCACCCAGTACAAGGACGTGGCGAGGGAGGGTGCTGCAGCACCCCAATATTTTGGGCACCAGAATATTCAGCACTCCCTGGTAAAATTTGGTTCCTGTGTTACTGGCCCAGTAACACCCAACAACCTTCCTCATTCATGTCAGGCCACTGTAGGCAGACCATCTTCACTTTTATAATAAATCCACTGCTTTATTTAATTTACATTGCAATTCCTTTTAGCCAAATTCCAACTAGTACTACAATAGTATTTATTAAGTGATGATAAATACATGACTACTGTACTAATTTACTAAGTGTTGAAGACAGACATTGTGGTAAGCTGATCAGCTGTTTGCTCTTTGTAAACATTTGACTCACGATGTTAAGTGTGGGATTCTTTTTCAGGAAAGCCGATTCCTTTAGGATAATATTTTATCAACCTGGCACCAAATGATCCTAAATTATATGAGAATTGTGGTGAAATTGCATAAAGAAATATTGAAGGAATCTTTGAGGAGAGGAAGTACCCACTCGTGCTACCTTCTGCCAGGGGTGTTTCCTAGATAAATACACAACACTAAAACTTTGAACAGCATTGTACGACCATTTTTTTTATTTTTGGAGGGCAAGGGTCACACCCTACTGTATACTTGGTATGACCTGCAGATACCATATATGGAAGCACGTTCTCTATTTCAGCAACGTGATGCTCCCAGTTGCCAGCTCTCTCGGCTTCTACATACCTTCTGAGTACAGTCCTCGTCCAACACCGGGGTTAGGTTCCTCGAAAACAGTGTTGAGCAAAATTGTGTTTCTGCAAACTTTGCTTCTTATGGGAAAAATGGGGTGGCTGGATCTTGGCCGAGTGTGGACTCTTATCACGTGAAATGCGCACCTTTTAAACATTTACATTATGCACAAATATGATGATAATAATAAAACTAACATACAGTACCATAAACCATTAAAAATATTAATGATTACACTACTCACCGAACCAAGGCTAGGTGATTGTAGCATAACTGTGATGACGATGATATTATAGATGTTGTGAAGCCTTCTGATGACGGTGATTGATGAAGAAGACTTCGATGATGATCAAACTGGAATGATTTTTATTTCTTTAGCCAATGGATCATCAGGATCATCGGCTACAGGCTCTAGATCAGCGGGTGATGTTGATGGTTGGGGTGGGGTGACCACAGCCTCGAGAAGAAGTCTGTTATTTTCTGTTGTTTGCTTTTTCTTTGCAGATCTTTCAAAATTTCTCTGTATGCCACACTAAAATCATCAAGGCCACTTTTGAACTTTAAACTTCTCTGCCATTATTGGATCTATGTCTCAACACACCTCATTAAGTTCATTTGCTTTCAGGAGGAATTCAGAGGTCACCTTGATTGTTAATTTAGGTTTTACGGGTTCCACTTCAGCATCATCAGCACTATTACTGTCATCTGTTATATCTCTTCAAGCTAATCATTTATTGGTTCTTGAAAATGCAAGTCCAGCAGTTCATTCACCTCCACTTTCTGCATGTCATCAAAACCCTCACCTCCAATTTCCTTTTCTAGTTTCAATATTTCTGCGATTACTTTGTCCACTGTCGTAAATTCACCAAAGTTGGTGCTAGCTAATGTTCATGGTGGAAGGCTTCACTTCATCCCAAGACATTTTTATACACCCGTAATGTCAATGCAGTCTTTAATGTTAAATGCCTTCCAGAATTCCATCAGTGTTTCATGTGCACCAGCATCCATTGCTTCAGTTGCTGGCCTATAGAAATTCCTTGTATATTATGACTTAAATGTCTTGATGACGACTCTGTTTTTGTGACTGAAGTGAACATTGTAACATTGAAAATGTCTGGGAAGGCCAAGGCATCCAAGACAACCGTGTCTCTGAGGTGAAGCTTGACATTGTTAAGCAGCATGAGACTCCCCAGAGGCTATGTGGGAGCTGTTTAATTGTTTTGTACTGATAGTAGGAGTTATTTTGTTGGTGATACATGTGTGTTTAGGGACTGGCTGGGAACATATCCCATTGAACCCCATTTTATAATGCTTCTTATTTATGATAATTCACCTAAGAGGAGTTTTCAGGAAACTAACCCCATTGTAACTCGAGGTTTACCTGTAAATCTATTTATATTTGAAATAGAAGCATAATTATTGTGTCTATACCCATGTTTTCAGAGGCATATAATAGAATAAGAAATATTTTGAGTGCCTAGGTTTGGCAAAGTACAGTATACCATTAGTGACCAATTCAGAAAATGACTACCATCAACTCGACTGTACTGTATGCTTATTCATGTCTTCGTCCAAAATTTAGGTAGCAACATGATTTTTGTATCTTCCAAAAGTGAACTTAATGCTATAAATCTCTTCCAAATTATTTCCAGATTTTTTATTCAATTACTGTACATATACATTCTAATTTGATTCTATAAATGATACCTTTTATATATTCAACACAATTCTGCTAAGCAATTCAAGCCGTCAATTATTTATCCTAAGTACTGTATCACACTTTCCATGTATGAGCTCAAATCTGCACAAGTAATAATGATAATAACATGAAATTTGTATTTGATTAGGGACATGGTGTACTTAAAAGCCATACATTCACTTCTGGACGAAACCTGATCAATTTTCAAAGTGGAGAACCAGATTATTTACTTATATTCCCTGGTTTCATTATGGTGAACATTTTCAAGTGCCTTGAGGTGCCTCCTGTATGTGACCCATGTCTCACTGCCATACAGCAGGGTGGGGAGGACCACTGCTCGATATACGTGTAAATTTGTATATAATTTCAGCTCCCTGCAGCTGAAGACACGGGTACGGAGTCTGCCAAGGGCTTGAGATGCACGTCAGATCCGATGTTGAATCTCTTCATCGATGTCCGCAGTGATGGACAGGTGAGAGCCGAGATACTGAAAGTGGGTAACATTAGAGAGGGTAGTACCGTTAACCTGGATGGATGGTGGAGGTGTGGCTGAACCAGGGGCAAGCTGAAAGAGAATCCGAGTTTTACTTACTTTCACCTCAAGGCTGAAGTGTACACCCACTAAAAAATTATTCGGCATGTGTCATATTGTATCAAGTCGTAAGGGTGCCGAATAATTTTTTAGTGGGTGTACATGATACTTGTACACACACACACACACACACACACACACACACACACACACACATGTATACTGTACATGCACGATACATACATGTACACCCATTTAAAAATTATTCGGCACCCTTACGACGTGATACAATATGACACATGCCGAATAATTTTTTAGTGGGAGTACATACGCATATGTGTATGTGTTCAGGATATCCCATAGGTCGCGCTCAGTGTGAGTGACGAGGGTGAAGTCATCTGCATACTGAAGTTTAGTGATGGAAATGGCTGACAACCTTTGTTCTTGCCTAGAGTCATCTTATGTTTAAAAGTCCTTTCATCTGGTACTGGACGTCCACCCTGCTGGCTAAATTGGCACTGGCATGAATAAGGAAGGCAGCCAAGAAAATGGAAAAGAGTTGTTGCCAGTACACATCCTTGTTTTACTCCCGTTTGGATGGGGAAAACTCGGACTGGGTGCCATTGTGCCGGACTGCTGTTCGTGTCATCTTGGAGTTGCCTTACAATGGCGATCAATTTTGGCGGGCAGCCAAAATGGACTAAGAGTTCGCTAGAGGGCTCCCCTGATGACTGAGTTGAAGCCTTCTGGCGCGATTACACGAGCAATAAAAATTGAGCAACATTAGGCAACATTTCTGTTGGAAATATTGACGAAGAAAATATTGTCATGACCATGATTGCTGCAATGTTGTAGTCAATGTGGAGCAATTTGAAGCAACATGGCCACTGTTTAAACGAGCCAGTGAGTAAGCAACTATCTCTAGGGGAACCTGTGAAGGCTGTGCGCTTGAAAATGGATCTTGGAATTGCAGCTGCCGCTTACTGTATTTTATCATTAATAAACAACGCAGGAAGAAGAGAAAAACGTGCGTTAGACCATATATCTGAAAAAGCGATCTAATGCAGCTCCATGTGGAGAATTATAATTAGACAGGTATTGATTTCAGAGTTTTACAAAAATGTCTCAAAGTGACTTTAAGGTGCTTGGTAATGTTATTGGTCCAAAATTACAGAAAATAGATTCAAATATGAGGGCAGCAATTCCTGTGAAAACTAATCTAGCGATCACATTAAGATTTCTTGCCGCTGGAGATTCTTATAAAAGCTTGATGTATCTGTTTCTAGTATCAAATGCTAGTATTGCTCTCATGATTCCAGAAGTGTGCAAAGCATTAGTTGAAGTTTAAAAGAGTACATGAAGGTGAGTAAACTTTATCTTTTAGTTTGTAATTTCCTCTTGCTCACATTATTATAATTTAATTTTCATTACATGAAAAGAAGAACACTCTTTAAAAACTTATCAATCTTTCCTCAATGTAGGTGTAATGAACGTAAAGTACATACATTGCATTATTATCAATGAATACAAGTTAAAGTAGTGCATATTATTACATATAAAGAGAGAAGCAAAACCACAACATAAAGGTGTATCAACTTTTACTGAAGTGTGTGCATTATCGATTTCATGGCAGCGTTCATTTCACCTTGGTCCTCTGTGGCAACAGTGGATGGAACAGGGTTAATGCAAGGGGAATCAATTACAGTACATCTCTAGAGGTGGCATGCATATTTAAAGAGTGGGTACAAGGAGGAGGTAGAACATTACTTGATACACCATGTGAAATGGCAGGATAACTGAGGTGTGGATCAAGTGAGGGTGAATGTGTTAGTAAAAGCATGAGATTGTGGTCAGGAGAGGGTGTATGTGATATATCAGCAGGAGAATCTGTGCAAGAAGGACATGGTTGAGTATTTTGGTGCAATGGACGAGAAGATGGAACCTGCAATGTATAATCATGAAACCCCATATTGGCCTCATATAAAATTGTGAAATTTTATATTCTACCAAGCTTGCTAGGTGCGGCTGGTGAGAGTTCAGTTTGGTGGCAACATTATTTCCAAAATTTTAATATTTGTCTAATGATCAAGCCATTACAAAACATCTTATAGGGTTGTTAGTGAATGTTGTAGGAGCACACGAACAATTGATAAAAAATTTGTGATGGTACAGCCTATTGTTGCAAGAGGAGCGGCCGATATGAACTACAGCAATTATGTAGTAAAGGTTATCACGGCAGCGCACGCAATAAACCCCTGGTGTGTGTGGTGTTCCCAACATCTCGGATCTGGATTCTCAAAGCCTTTTATGTTAAATTATCCTCTTAACTAGAGTTTCCTGAGAGCCCCTAACACAGCGAAGCTAGAGCACAAACAAGCACTTGTAAAATGGCATCATAATTATTTAACTGAGACTCGACTTTAAGAAGATTCTATTACTTGGTGTCAGAACTGACATGTAGAATGGTTGTAAATCCCGATTCTCGACTTGGGAGAACACTCTTACCATACAAAAGATCTTGAAGAGTACCTGACTAGTAAACATGGTACAAAGACGTACTCATGAAAAAGAAGGATATGAGTTAGTAAGTAAAGCCCTCACCATCATCAGTGTTTTGTGGGTGTGGTTAGATCATCGGCTGCAGCTGGTTAGTGCTTCTTTGGGTGATTCCTGATATAGTTGTACTCACTGAAGTAGAAGTATTCGATGGAAGATGCTTTGTATCCTGTGGAAAGAATCCCTGGGTTAACACCACCTGTTTTATAAATCTTCACTGATCAAGGCTGTGTGAGCTGTAGGTGTTTATAACCAGAACTGTGGGATTCAGAGATGATGGTCACAACATTGATGGTGTGGTTAGGTTAATTATTGAACTACTGTATTATGACTATACTGTAATTACTAATTAGATTTTAATGAATTCCAAAAGGATGTTTAAAGTTAAAGTAATCTACAGTATATCACTCTCCCCCCCCACACACACAGACACCTGTATCTACGTCTCCTGTATATACTGTATATCTAAGCACAGTATAATATTAAACATACAGTATATCTATGTTTACCTCCTAACATGCCAGCAACACCTTTCCTCTTAACCATATCTCCCTCATGTGTAAGTCACCCTTACGTATCTAAATATTGCATTCAAGCTCAGCCGAACTCAGTAAAAACACCGACTGAGCAGCCACATAATTTTTACCATCGGATCCACTACTGGTGGTGGGAAGGTTGCTGCTGGGTAGGACGCCACTGGACAGGCTATTCGTGGGTAAGCTGCTGGTGGGAGAGGTGAATGAAGTGGTGCTGGCCTGTATGTTTGGAGAGTGTGTCTTGCAAAAGCAAATCCTGTCATTGATGGTTTTCTCAGTCAGAGTGAACCCGGGTCGCTGAAAGCAGGGACAAAGTCAAAGCTTAATGGCTGTCAGTAAGGTTCAGGTCACGCTTCTTAGCTGTTTTGGTGGTTCTAAGATATTATGAAGTAATGAGTGAAGAGAGTGTTTAGTCAAGTTACATATACTGTACATAAGGATGGAGAAGGGATCTACTGCTGTTATTGTCCATAACTACTTGTAAGGGAGAATTGATATTGTACTTCTGCTGTTTTAATATCCAGTAAAAGTGAGGTAAATTGTTTCTCCTGTCAACAGTTTATGCTGTGAAATTTGACTCTTGTTTACGATGAAGTGTGTAGCAAGCAATGTTTGCCTCCCGTGCACAGATGGAACTGATGGAGGTATAATAATATAAATAAATCCAAATGTGGCATCTTTCAGACACTTTAACTCTATGTCTAAACAAAAAACTACTCAATAGCTGGTGTGCCTCCTTGCAGATGGCTTAAGTAGGCAAAGGTAGAGGGAAAGGAGACGCAAAAACATCGGTGCCATACTCCAGATTTTGGTAGAGTGTTCCGATGGGCTACTCCAATGTCCGGAGACAGAATCGGGTACAGCAAGCATTAGGGTTTCTATTCAGTCCATCAATATAAATAAAAAAATATAGACGAAGGAGCTAGTACTTCAGCATATCAATGTAGATACCTTGGAGTATGTCGCACTAACTGTAGTTGATGATGTTTGTTTGTAATACTGGCTGTCAACATCGATGGTCATTATGGCTGTAGTCTTGTTATTTTGGCCTCTTCCTTCTGTTCTTCTTTGTTTTTTCTGTACTACCAATTTTTCATCTTTTTGGTCTTCTACGTCTGGTAATGATTCGTAGAGGTTGATAAACTCTGAATGTCTTATTGTTGATATATGTGTTGTTGTTGTTCTTACTCTGTATTGTTTTGGTCTTGTTACTTCTTTCTTCACTACAAGGAGAGCCTCCTTGTTCCTCAGTTGTTTCTTGTCTCGCCACTTAGCTTAGCTACCCTGCGCTCCTCCCTCCATATCGGTCGCCGAGCATGTGCCAAGTGGTGTACTGGTGGTCTGACAAGTGGCACAGACCTCCCGAGCCCGGCGCTTAAGAACGTAAGAATGGAGGCAACTGCAGCAGGCCTATTGGCCCATACTGGGTAGTCCCGTTTACACCCAACCTCTATCGCTCATATATCCATCCAACCTATGGTATGTTTGAAGCTATCCAGCGTATTTGAGTTTATGATTTTGTTTGGTAACTTGTTCCACTCATCCACTACTCTATTTCCAAGCCAGTGTTTACCTATATTGTGCCTAAATCTAAATTTATCTAATTTAAAGCCATTGCTACAAGTTCACTCCTGGTTGGATAGTTTGAGTACCTTTATTATATCACCTTTGTTTAGCCCTGACTTCCATTTATGCTTTAACCTGTCTCTGTACTCAAGGTTCCTAGTGCTTGGAATTTGTCTTATCATTCTCCTGTTAATTTTTTCTAGGGATTCTATATCCATTCTGTAGTATGGTGACCAGAATTGAACTGCGTAATCCAAGTGAGGTCTCACAAGTGCAAGATATAGTTTTAGGATGACCTCGCTAGTCTTGTAACTAACACTCCTTTGTATGAAGCCAAATTCTTTGTTAGCCTTGTATTGACGTTGTTCATCTGATATCTGGTTTCTCTGTTTACATCTCCTAGACTAACACTTTACATTTGTCCACATTAAATTTCATTCGCCATTTTTCAGACCATTCGAAAAATTTGAGATCTTCCTGTAATTTTGCAGAGTCCTTGTCAGTTTTAATTACCCGGTACACACTCTCTTTTAGTAACATCAGCAAATTTATTTATGTTGCTGTCTACGTCTATATCGTTTATGTATAGAATAAATAATAATTATAATGGTTCAAGCACTGAGCCTTGGGGTACTCCACTAGTGATGTCACCCCAATCGGATTTAATGCCGTTAATGCTCACTCGCTGTTTCCTGTCCTGTAACCACGCCCTAATCCATTTTAGAATATCTCCTCCAATGTCATGAGCCTTCACTTTTCGAATTAGTCTTTTGTGGGGGACTCTGTCGAAGGCTTTGCTAAAGTCGAGATATACCACATCATAATCGTGTCTGTCGTCCACGGATTCGAAAACAGCTGAAAAGAATGTTAACAGATTATTCAGCCATGAATGCCCACTTGTCAAGCCATGTTGGGATTCATTGATCAACTTGTGATTCTCCAGGTGATTTCAAATAGTGTTTGAAATTATTGTTTCCAGTAATTTGCCTACAATTGATGTTAAACTGATTGGATGATAGTTAGAGGAAAGTGATCTTCTTGAAAATCGATATTTCATTCGCTATCCTCCAGGATTTTGGTACTACACCCGTTTTTAAGGACATGTTAAACAAATTTACTAAGGACATACTAAGCTCTTCCTTACATTCCTTTAATACTCTGGTAAATATCTCATTAGGACCTGGTGACTTATTAGGCTTTAATTTGTCTATTTGCTTACATCGTTACTAGTCACTACTATCTCGCTTAATCTATCTTCTTCACTATCTCTGTATATAGTCGGTGCCTCGGGTATCATGTTTAAATTTTCGGTGGTGAAAACTGCTGAAAAATATCTGTTCAGATTATTGCTCATTTCTCCTTCATTATCCATTAGCTCACCAGTGTCCGACTGCATTGGTCCAATCTTGTCTCGTGTTTTGGTTTGGTACATTTGAAAGAATCCCTTGGGGTTTAACTTCACCTCCCTTGGTACTTTCAGTTCATTATTCCTCTTTGCTTTTCTTAGCTTGGTCTTAACCCGACTGGCCAATACCTTATAATAATCTAGGAGGTAAACTTCACCACGATTTATTCTCCTACCTATAGCCTTCCTTTGTCCAGTAATATTCTTTCAATAATTATTTATCCATTTAGGGTCATTGTTGTTTGATCTGAGTTTTCTGTATGGTATGTTCTGCCTTTGTGCATTAAGTAACTCATTATTTAAATTGCTGTGGAAGTCGTCAACCTCAGATCTCATGATCAGGTCATTCTCATCCATCATATTTTGTGAGGTTATCGTTGTCACGTCTTCAGGTAAAGTGAGGTTGCCCTCTGTGGGTACATTATGTCAGATCATGTAATTCACCCCAAACGTGATACCCCTTCTCTCAGTTGCCTTTTCAAACTATCAAAGTTTGCCCTTCTGAAATTTGGGACTTAAATGGAATTTTCCTTGTGACTGTCATTAAATTCTAATTCGAATCTCACTTCTCTGATCACTGTTAGCTAGTTTGTTCCCTACCTTGATATTACTAGTGAGGTTTTCTCTGTTTGACAGAACCAAATCGAGTAAATTATTACCCCGAGCTGGTTCAGCTATATATTGACTTTGGAAACAGTCCAGAACTGTTTGAAGAAAATCCTCTGATTTTGAGTTACCTGTAAGGTCAGTCCAATCTATTTGACTAAAGTTAATGTCGCCTACAATACAGACTTTGCTTTGTCTGGAGGCCCTACATATTTCATCCCAAACAAGTCGCTCATTAACTTTATCAAGATTAGGAAGTCTATATATTACTCCTATGATTAATTTTCTCCACCATTGGTTAATTCTATCTAAATTGTTTCTGTATTCAGTTCAGTTTTTATTTCCTTATTTATTTCACACTTCAGTTTATCCCTGACATAAATTGCTACTCTTCTTCCTTTCCTAATCTGCCTATCGGTGTGGAATAATTTGTAACCTGCAATTTGGTATTCGACAGGTAACTCACGAGAGTCTAAGTTTATCCATGTTTCGGTGAATGCTATTATATCGATTTTTATGTTACATACCAGCGCCCTAATTTCATCCATTTTGTTTCTCATACTTCTACTGTTTGTGTAGTAGACATTTAAGTTAGTCGTGCTATGAGTCCTCCCTTTATCGTGTTTTGGTTTTAACTCCCTGCCTAATTTAGTTTTGTCCACGCATGGCATGGGTGATTTGTATTTCCTTCTTATGCTTCTGCCAGGCAATAATATAATCAAGAGGGCGCCAATTGTTAGACCTGGGATGTTTGTAGGATGTCTTGAATTTGGGTTTCAAATGAAATACAGTGTTGGTAATTACCAGGCAGTGTTATGCACTTAGTGAGAGTAGTCTCTGCCTTTTTGCTGTTGGACTTTCCGACCCATGCAATGTTTGCCGAGAGGCCCTCATGGCCGTTGAATTCGCCCATGAGGAGTAGCTTGTCCGTCCTGGGGGTGTTGTGTATGACGGTGTCCAAGGAATTATAGAAAGAATCTTTGGTGTCGTTATCAACATCTAATGTAGGAGCATACGCACTGATGGGGGTGGCGCACCGGCCTTTGGCTAGTGGGATGCACTAGGTCATCAGCTGTTCATTGATCTCTACAGGTGACTCAAGGATGTGATGCAGCAGAGAAGAATTCACTGCGTGCCTCTGTGTGTGTGTGTGTGTGTGTGTGTGTGTGTGTGTGTGTGTGTGTCTTCGCTCAGGTAAGGTTTATACAACATAACCTTGACTGTCCCAGCCCCTTCCTGGTTATATCTCAGTCGGGGAAGATTTTTCCTTGTTGCCTGGACCACCCGGGACCTGCTTCCAAACTGCTTATAGACTAACAATAATGGTAATATATGATGGCGTCACTATTGATATACCACAACCAGTATAGCTGTGTTGTATTGACAAATTAATTTATCCAAAAATTTCTATTACTGTGCCTAATATTAGAGTTGAGAGTACAGGCATAATTATGTAGCCATTGTCACTTACCAGGTCAGTGGCCCAGATGTCGAAGGCGATGGTGGCAGTCTCCGCATAGATGATATCCCCCTTGGTCCTGGCTGCTGCTACCAGCACCATTATTACTACCACCAGGGGCCACCTACTGGTGCGGCTCCCACCTACTGCACACATCTGTCAAATCAACAAATCTTACAGATGTAAACAGTGACAACAGCGGACAGTGTTGTCCTGCAGTGACTAAACTCATCACGCACTGAAATTATCCTCTCCATTTGATACTTAAAACCTCCTCAAATCATGGCATTTCTTCACACTCAGCCTCAAATGTATTCTAAGCAACCCATGCCTTAATCGAGGGCTGTGGTGGCGCTAATGAGAATTTATTAATTAACCAATATTTTTCTGAATTATCATTGACAGCACCAAAAAAGATATACAGTATAGTTATATTGTACAGATGTTAAAATCCTGCCTGAAGCTTTTATTTAGAGAGTATTTTCTCTTGTCATAGTTGTATTCATCTCAAATGAGCAAAAGGAATGAATATAACAAACTGAGGAACTTGATATAACTTGTAGGATAGTTATGGTGACTTAGTGAGTGTTTACAGATCATCCCATTATTAAAACTTTTGAATCTTGGATTTTTTTGCATAATTCGAACCAAAGTTGCATGTTAAATATTAAAATTTAAAATCATTTGATTTAAGCAAGTGTGCCGACACAGGGCCAGGGAGCAGCAGCGCACCCTCCACCCGCTCTACCCCCCACCCGGGAGGTGGCACCAGCTCCGCCTACCAGACAGGAGGAGGCGAGCGCCTTTTAAACAATGACATTTCTAACCACACCCTGCAAAATACAGTGTACTTAGCAAATGCTGCAGCTTCTGAGAATGGGGGGAAGGGGGGTTACTATTAAGAGTAGAGACGTTACCAAGAACAAATTCTGGCTTGAATGTCATGCACACTAATACTGACACGTTTCTTGATAAGAGAGAGGAGTTTGAAACACTACTGAAGGTACACCAACCAGATATTGTAGGAGTTGTAGAACTGTTGTACAAGAACAGGAGAATCGACCCAGAGGAATGTGAGTTCAGTATTGCTGGATATGACTCATTTACGAACCTTTCTCAAGAAACTTGCAAGAGGGTTGTGGTTATCTATGCTAGGTAAGACCTTAGAGCCAGCCAGGCGAGGGTACAAGGAGAGGATGTTTTTGAAGAGTCCAAGTAGTGTAAAATTAAATTAAAGGGAAGGGACTTACTTATTGTCGGGTGTATCTACAGATCCCCAAACTGTGGCCCACTAAATCAAAGGAACTTAAGAGCCTTAATAAACAACGCGGCGATGCTCAACCCTACCCACCTCCTTATCATGGGAGACTTTAACTATGGCGACATCGACTGGAGAAACGAGTTCACCCCAAATGACTTGAATAACCCTGCTACTCTTTTTGTAGAAACTCTGAGAGATAATTTTCTGTTCCAACATGTTAGAGACCCGACACACTAGAGGGGAGCAAACACCCAAGCCACTAGACCTCATCATAACAAATGAGGAGGGTTTGGTGGCCAAACTGGAACACCTTGCCCCAGTTGGCACCAGTCACCATATAGTGTTGTCATTCAGATTTAACTGTTATCTAGTTCAAGATAAGGCCAGGCCAAGGTGCAAATATTACAATGGAAATTACAATGGGATGGGGGAAGAGATGAGGGGTATCAACTGGCCTGACTCATTAAGGCACAAGAATGCAGACACTACGCTGAATATCATAACAAGTAAAGTAACCCATTTGATCGATAAATATATACCCAAGACCAAACCCAGTGCCTCTAGGAATACAAGGGGATCCCTATACATGAACCATGTGGCGGTCAACAAAGTTAAGAAAACTCAGAAATTCAAGACGTGGGTTGGGTCAAATGATGAGCAGGACAGGAGGATGTATGCAAGAGCCAGAAACCAAGCAAAGATGAGAGTGTAGAAGGGCTGAAAAGGAGTTCCAGAGGCTGGTTGCAAGCAAGGTCAAGTCAAACCCAAAGGTATTTTACCTCTATGCAAAGTCAAAATTAAAAATGCGAGTAGGAGTATCAGACCTGAGGCTTGAAGATGGTAGTTACGCAGATTCTGACCAGGATAAAGCTGAGGCATTGAACAGCTTCTTTTCCTGGGTGTTCACAAGAGAGGATGCGATTACCCTTCCTGCGTTTGAGGACAGACGGTTTGACACAACACTGACCCACATTGTGTTCACAGAAGAGGGTATTAGAAATAAACTGTCAAAGCTAAAGGTCCATAAGAGTCCCGGCCCTGACATGGTGCATCCTAGAGTGCTAAGAGAATTGTGCAACGAGCTTGCAGAGCCCCTGAAGATCCTGTTTTGTAAATGCCTGGATGAACAAAAGGTCCCCAGTGAATGGAAAGTGGCTTATGCGAGTCCTATCTTCAAGAAGGGCGATCGTCACTCCACGAACAACTATAGACCGGTGCGCCTGACCAGCATAATATGTAAAGTACTTGAGAGTATTATCAGAGATGCCGCGATGGAACATCATCTACGAAACAACCTTGTAAAGGATTGCCAACACAGTTTTATGCCGGGGCGCTCCTGCTTAGCATGATTGCTCAAGGTATTGGATATTTGGGCCCATATTCTGGGATGGGGTGGTAATATCGACAATATTTACCTAGGCTTTTGTTTAAGGCTGCACGGAATTCTGTCCTAGCGACATGTGTGAATGGTGATTAATGGCACGAAATCATCATCTATACCTGTCACAAGTGGGGTACCGCAGGGTAGTGTATTGGGCCCGCTGTTGCTTGTTTGTTTCATAAATGACATGCCTGACGTTTTACACTCCTCCACACAAATGTTTGCCGATGACGGCAAGTTATTTCGAGAAATCAAGAACCAAGCGGACTGTGAAGAGCTGCAGAAGGACCTCTGTGAGCTCCAAGAATGGTCGAAGAAATGTCTGCTGAGATTCAATGTCACGAAGTGTAAGAGGCTGCACCTGGGTCGTACCAATGGTAAGGAGGCGTATCATATGTCCCAATGGGATGAAGAAACTGCATTATTTGAGACGATGTGAGAAGGACCTAGTTGTGTATATTGACAATGAGCTGAAGTTCTCGGGCTGAAGTTCTCGGGCCATCGTGATCGAAAAAGAGTATGTTAGGGACTGTCAGTTTGTTGAAAATGTTCAAAGGAGGGCCACCAGACTGGTGCCTGCACTTCGGCACCTCAGCTACCCTGAGAGATTGGAGTGCCTGAACTTGCCTAGCTTATACTACAGACAGGCAAGGGGTGATCTAATTGAGGTGCATAAGCATCTCAAGGGGCACTACTCAGTCGAGTGTCCTTACTTGGAGCTGGCGGACGCTCGTCCCACAAGGGGTCACAGCTCAAGATTGAAGAAGCCGCAAGTCCAGAAAACTGTGACGGCAAATTTTTTTGGAGTGAGAGTTGTGAACTCTTGGAACAATCTACCAGAAAGTGTTGTGATGGCACCGAGTGTGAGCTCTTTCAAGACCAGACTAGACCAACACTGGAGCAGGTTCAGGTACATTTAGGAGCCAGTGCATGCCCAGTACTTGCCAACAGTGCGCAACAGAGACATGACCGATCGTCCAAGCGGCTAACGAGCCGATCATTTGGTGAAGAAGATAAAAGTAAAAAAAGTAAAAAGTTTAGAAAAATTCGCACAGAGGCAAGGTGTCAACCTTTGTGTCAGGACACAGGTCCAACAGAATGATGTGCACAGCACCTGTTCGGTTTGACACTCAGTCAGGTGCCTCATACTCAGTTTCTTGTACTGTACATGACATGTCCAGTACAATAAATATGATTTAATAAGCAATACATTTTTTGGTACACATACTTCAATATTCATTAACCATTAACTACTTTTTGATGCTGCATTAACCATTAGAAATAAGAAACATTAACAGTGAATTATATTTTAATTTATGAAACAGTATTTAGTACTATTGTACAAAGTTCCGGTTCCGGCCGGTTATTTTACCGAAGTTCCGGCCGGAACAGGAACTCCATAAAAATCGAGGTTCCGGCCTGAAGTAGCCGCCCTGAACTAGTTCCAGTGCATCCCTAATACCCACACATTGTTGGTAGAAAACAGAGAGGACTGAACTCATCAGCCCACAGCTGCCACAACTCAACTTCCCTACGTCCACTGCCTAACCTGCAGTTAGTTCCTTTCGAACATATCTGTTGCTACGTCATGTGAATTCTTATTATATATACAGTACTTACATGTAGGTACAGGGTAGATAACTTACTAGAGTATTTTTCTGTCCACATAATAAAACATGTACGCACTGATGTAATAAGCCGCCAGGAAGACTTAACCTCTTACATTACTTGGGACTATTTTATTTGTGTGTGTTGTGACACATTACATGGTAGTTCTTCCAAAGCTACTGTATGTTGGATCTAAAAACTAACAAGTAACTGTCAGAGACTGACATTCAGTGAGCGGCCTCTCTCGTAGTGCTGTTACCCATATGTTCAGGTTTAATATTTTTTGGTTGTCTGCTATTAATGACAGATCATTTATCTTTACAGCTTTTTACAACATGAAACAAATGCTTGGAAGTATTTTTACTGAAAATATTCAGTTTGTAAATTGGCCCGAAAGCGTTTCAATAAATCAACACTCAGAAAATGTATATACGTATATCTATTGTCAGTAATGTTCTGTAGTCTTCACTAGAATACACGTGACGAAACACAAGAGGCACATCATAAACCTGAACCTTACTTAGTGTGGAGGAGCACAAGTGTAATCAGGTGCACTTTGGGTCACTTCCCACTGTATTGATGAACACAGCTCTTTAACAAGTACGCAGATGTATCGTGTAATGTTATTGTTCTGATAAGCGTGATTATGATGACTGAAGGTAGGGAGTGAGGCCAGTGTGCGGACGAGGTAGGGAGAGAGGTGTGAACACGTGAGGGTGTCAGTGAGGGAAGTGGATGGTGCCGAGTGACTCAGGTGCTAACACACAGCTGTACAGATGTGATGAAGGTGATTGGTGTTCTGACTGCCTCTCTGCCTAACACACAGCTGTACAGATGTGATGAAGGTGATTGGTGTTCTGACTGCCTCTCTGCCTAACACACCTGTGTCCAAAGAATGTTAGAGATTCATAAATCTAATCGAGCTTTAAGAATGGCTGAAAAAATGGCTGCTCAGATTCATGTCACGAAGTGTAAGAGGCTGCACCTGGGACGTGCCAACGGTAAGGGGGCGTGAATCAGGCAACTAAATTGTTAGGTCTTGCGAAAGCAACAGGTTTTCCTTCCTACAGAAGCACTGAGCCAAGTCCATATTCACTAGCATCATTCTCAAGCGTTAACTCCTTATTAGGGTCATAAAACACCAGCAGACATTTATCAGCTACCATGCCTTTAACCTTATGAAAAACCCGCTATTGTGCACTGGACTAGCACCAGGGTACATCATTTTTCACCAGATTATAAAGGGTGTGTAAGACATCGCACACATTAGGTAGGAATCTGGACACATAATTAGCCAGACCTAGGAATGACCTGAGAGTAGTTTAGGATTCTGGAACTGGGAAATTCTTAATTACTTTTACTTTTTCAGGATCAGGTTGAAGACCCTCTTTGGTTATTTGATGTCCCATGAACAGTAAAGTGTCACTCCACATCCCAATCTTGGTTTGTTAATTTTAAGCTGGATATTATTCTCTCGACAACATTTTAAAAAACTTTCTAGGTTTGCATCGTGTTCTGTCGTGTCGGCCCCATGTATTATGGCATCGTCAACAATGCAGACAACTCCCTTCAAACCTGTTCGTGCCTCTAAAAATTTTCCGAGGATACATTTAACTCAAAAGGTAGGAGCAGCCAGCTGAATCTACCAAGACATGTTAGGAATGTGGTCAAGTAGCTAGAAGGAGTATCAAGCGTCACATGCCAATAACCAGATGCCAAGTGAACTTTCTAGAATACTCTAGACTGGCCCAATTCATAAAGGGTGTCCTCAAGGATAGGAAGTGTATAGTGATCTCTCTAAAGGGCCTTATTCAGTTATCTTGGGTCTATGCAAACTCTGACTTTCCCGTTCTTTTTGGGACTCACAACAGCTTAACTCACCCAAGGGGTTAATTCATCTACAGGTACAATTACACCCAGCTTGACTAGTCTCACTAACTCTGCCTTTAGTTTAGGCTTCATGGATATTGGCATGCGTCTGTCAGGCATAAATACAGGTTTAATAAGTGGGTCAACTTTGAGGGACTGTACACCAGGAAGGGTTACTAGAGAGCCCTTCATCACATCCAAATACCCATTTTCTAGTTTGATATTGAACACTTGCTCAGTTGCCCTTCTTTACTTCTACCAGTCCCACCTGTTGGTTAGTATTCATCGCTAAAAGTGGTGTAAGGTTCCCTTAAAAACAATGAAATCAATAGGACACTTCTGACCAGTTATAGGGTTGTACAAATTCCTCGTGCATATACTAACTGGAACCTAACTGCCTTGGTTCCAGGTCTTAAGGACTCTATTTGTAGGTTTAACATGTTTGGCAAAACTGAGGGGTAGAATATTCACAGTAGAACCAGTGTCAATCTGAAAAACTATCTCTTTACCCCCTATCACCGTCTTACACTTAGCTTCCTTGTGATTGTTGTCATGGGATCTAGGTTTAGAAGACACTGAATGAATAAAGTCAGTAGGTGCCTTTGTTGAGGAAGATTCAGACTCAGATGTGTCACAGTCAATGTCACACACATTATAGATCTTATGACTTCTCTTATTCTTTACCTCTCTCGTTTTACTTGACTGACTTTTCTGTGATTTACACACGTTAGCAAAATGATTACTGAGACCACATGATACACACTTTTAGCCATATGCAGGGTATTTCTCTTTTACGAGAGCATGTTTATAACTACAAAACTTGGTCTTTTTTAGGTTTCTCATACTCGTATATCACTGTTCCTCTGTCATTCTTCTCCTTGTAACCTCTGTTCTCCTGTGTTACCTTATTTACTGTGTCTGGTCTGATCATTCTCCTATACTAAGCTCCCTCACCTGTCCTCTCCTGTACTAGGCTCCACACCTCTCCTCTCCTGTACTAGGCTCCACACCTGTCCTCTCCTGTACTAGGCTCCCTCACTTGCTCCACACCTGTCTTTTTTAGGTCTTTCTCAGGCTCCACACTCCTGTATCATCACTTGTTCTCTCCTGTCATTCACCTGTCGTCTCCTGTACTAGGCTCCACACCTCTGTGTCTCCTGTACTAGGCTCCACACCTGGTCTCCTGTACTATCACCTGTCGTCTCCTATACTAAGCTCCCTCACCTGTCCTCTCCTGTACTAGGCTCCCTCACCTGTCCTCTCCTGTACTAGGCTCCCTCACCTGTCCTCTCCTGTACTAGGCTCCCTCACCTGTCCTCTCCTGTACTAGGCTCCACACCTGTCCTCTCCTGTACTAGGCTCCCTCATCTGTCCTCTCCTGTACTAGGCTCCACACCTGTCCTCTCCTGTACTAGGCTCCACACCTGTCCTCTCCTGTACTAGGCTCCCTCACCTGTCGTCTCCTGTACTAGGCTCCCCACCTGTCGTCTCCTGTACTAGGCTCCCCAGCTGTCCTGTCTCACGATTAACTTAGGTGTAAAAAATTTTGTTAGACAATATGACAACGGACGGAGGTTTTGACAACCCTACCGAGACAACAGGAGTCGTATTCTTCTTATGACACCCACACAGCCAAACTGTAGAATGCTCTACCTTCTTCTGTGTTTCCATACTCATACAATCTATCTTACTTCAACTAGCTGGTTTTCCGACATCTTCGTGGTGTAGATTAATATAGTCTTTTTCTCTTCGATGACCTGTGCCCGGGCTGGCTATTCCCCGTAAAAAAACAAAAATAAAAAACAAACTGCTATCTTAGGTAAGATAAGCTCTGCCTTGAGAGGTTCTGTTATATACTTTCATTAAGACGAATAATTATCCGAGTCTGCAAAACGCCGGTTCACCATTATCTATATATGCAGCGGTAGTACCAGAGAACACACCATCTTTTTTACTAGGTTGGACTTATCAACAGGTTGAAGGGCGGGAAACTTGGCAGGAACTCAGGAACTTGTAGTCAGTTACACAATCATATTTAACACGTTTTCCAAGATACTACCAGGAACAGCCTACACAGTCAGGCTACCGTCTATCTGTCTTGAACATGATTTTAAATTGTTAAGAAACTTTGACCGCGAGAAACAGGAAGGGAGAGAGAGTGTTAGCCTCATAAATTAATATAAAAGAAAGTCAGAAAAATATAAAAAGAGAGAGATAATTCAGTCGTTTCCATGATAGCCTGACACATGTGCAAATGTCACTGTCGTGGCCGTGAGGTGTCGCCCCATCTATGGCCTCACCTAATTTGTATATATTATACACCTAATTACTAAAACCGTCGATTATGCTAATGAACCAATTACTGACGCTCTTCATTAAATACAAGTTGCTAATTAACTTAAGGAATTTGAGAACAGGTGTGATCGGTGGATGGCTGGTACAGGTGTAGTCTAAATTACATATGGTATTAACAGTGTATCAGGCTCAACGTTGGGATGGGATCACAGGATGGGGCTTAGGTAAGATGGGGTTATTGGAAGGATGAGGTTATGGAAGGATGGGACTAAGGGAAGGATGGGGGTAAGAGAAGAATGAGGTTATGGAAGGATGGGACTAAGGGAAGGATGGGGGTAAGAGAAGAATGAGGTTATGGAAGGATGGGACTAAGGGAAGGATGGGGGTAAGAGAAGAATGAGGTTATGGAAGGATGGGACTAAGGGAAGGATGGGGGTAAGAGAAGAATGACGTTATGGAAGGATGGGACTAAGGGAAGGATGGGGGTAAGAGAAGGATGAGGCTATGGAAGGATGGGGCTAAGCCTGCACCTGGTTCAGCCACACCTCCACCATCCATCCAGCTTAATGGTACTACCCTCTCTAATGTTACCTACTTTCAGTATCTCGGCTCCCACCTGTCCACCACAGCGGACATTGATGAAGAGATTCAGCATCGAATCAGATGTGCATCTCAAACCATTGGCAGACTCCTTACCCGTGTTTTCAGCTGTAGGGAACTGAAATTATCTACGAAGTTTTACGTATGGCAACGAGACATGGGTCACATACAGGAAGCACCTCAAGGTATTTAAAGTACTTGAAGGCTTTCACCAACGTAGTCTACGTTCCATCTTCCGAGTTCGCTGGGAAGACAAGAGAACAAATGGCAGTATTCTCGCTGACATCAACTATAGGAGCACCGAGGCTACCATTATCCAGAAACAACTACGTTGGACTGGCCATGTTACGTGCATGGACGACAGTTGACCGCCAAAGTAGCTACTTTACTGTTACCTAACGAATAGTAAACGTAATGTTGGCGGGCAACTGAAAAGGTATGAGGATAGTCTTAAGACAAACCTGAAAGTGCCAAGTCGACCCCCTCACCTGGGAGACGATTACTCCACACCGTAACGCTTGGAGGAGCACCACACGAGAAGGTGTCAATACTTTCGAGTTAGACCGACTGCATACCAAAGTTGACAAGTGCCAGCGCCGGAAAGACGGTGCCACCGCCCCTCCCTCACTAGATGTAGCCCTCCACACGTGCTACATCTGTGGACGACCCTATTGGTCCTATATAGGCCTCTCGAGTCACCTCAGAGCTCACCAACGAAGGTGACAGCCTTCATAACTTATATAATTGTATCATAACTGGATGAACGTCATACTCGATTCTGAGTAACAGCAAAATAATAGGTGTGTGTAATAATAAATAATAATAATTAATAATTAACGGTTAATTGAAAAAGCATAGCAGCCGGAAGGCTGAAACTATACAGTTGCATAATTGGGGAATGGGTCACTTGATTGACCAATAATATACAAGTAACATAAGTGATACAAATATGATATATAATAACTAGGTGGGGAGAAGCTAAACTACAGGGCATTTCAATATAGTGACAGTGCAAAGAGTAAGATTGACTGGGAGTGAATACACTGGTTGATTACGAGTTATTTTTAATTTTTACAATGGTTGGGACTGGGCTGTTCTTATAGCAATCAGGACGTGCGCGTATGGGCTGGATGCGGTGTGTGTGTGTGTGTGTGTGTGTTCCAGAGACTATAGGGGCCAGTCAGTGATAAAAATCGTTCATTTCACAAATGGACTGCAATATGAAAAACTGAAGCAAGTGTGGAGACGAGGCCAAGCAACGGCAGACCACGTGTGATAACTCTTGAGGACGATCACAGGATGTTGGAGCCAATATATCAAAGTCTGCTGTACTATACACTTGTGATCCTCGAAGGTCTGGGGTTTGCCCTCAAGCTTTTCTGAGTGGACCCCAGCTGTTGGAGAAATGTAGTATTCATGGAAAAAATATTTTACATCTGTGGAGGCAACATAGGGCACGACATTGCTGGAGAGTCCGGAATACACGATTTGTGGAGGATCACATTCAACAAAAAGGTGTGTGGTGGTGGACACAATAAACAGGATATGAAAAGAGACAAATTAGAATTGACAATGAAGGAGCTTTAGTTACACAAGGAAGATGTCCACACCTTTCAATATAAGGAAGTTTATGCTGAAATAAAGGGTCGATGGAACAAGAGAAGACTCAACAAAATTTGGAGATGAAACTGATTGAGCTTACTGTACATACCGAAATCCATACAATGCATATCTATATATACAAGTCTTACACGACCAGTACAAACATACGGACATTTGAAATTTCTAAAACACTACACTGCAATGGATACTACTTCTAATACCTTACTGTCGCTCGGAATCGAGTATGACGATCATCCAGCTATGTTGTTGAGTTGGACCGGCAGTGTCGTTCACATTCGTTGCACATGTGGAGGGCTGCATCTAGTGCGGGAGGGGCGGTGGCAGCGCCTTTCCAGCGTTGGCGCTCGTCTGCCTCGGTTTGCAGTCCAGCTAACTCGAAAGTATTGACACCTTCTTGTGTGGTGCTCGTCCAAACGTTATGATGTGGAGTAATTGACTCCCAGGTGAGGGGTCGATGTGCCATTTTTTCAGGTTTGTCTTAAGACTATCCTTATACCTTTTCAATTGCCCACAGGCGTTACGTTTACTATTCGTTAGGTGACTGTAAAGTACCTGCTTTGGCAGACTATTGCTGTCGATGCAGGTAACATGGCCAGTTCAACGTAGTTGTTCATGGAAAATGGTAGCCTCGATGCTCCTACAGTTGGTGTCAGCAAGAATACGAGCATTTATTTTCTTGTCTTCCCAGCGAACACGGGAGATGGAACGTTGACTATGTTGGTGAAAGTTTTTAAGTGCCTTGAGGTGCCTCCTGTATGTGACCCATGTTTCACTGCCATATAGCAGGGTGGGGAGGACCACTGCTCGATATACGTGCAGTTTTGTAGATAATTTCAGCTTCATACAGCCAAAGGCTTGAGATGCACATCTGATCCGATGCTTAATCTCTTCCTGTGTGCCGAGACAATGCAGGTAAACAAGAATGGGAAGCAATAAGGGAACTCGACCAAGGAGCCGACAAAGCTACCCGTGGGAGGGCCTCTAGCAGCACCGCCGCTTCTGGGAGGTGCCCTGAGGCACCACCGCCCCTTCAAGGGCCCCTGGGGACGCCACCGCCCATGGAAAAGCCCCTGGGAGGGACCCTAGGAAGGCTCCTAGGGGTGACATCGCTCCTGGTAAAGCCCCTGGGTGTGCTGCCGCCCAGTGGAGGGCCCCTGTGGGCGCCGCCGTCCCTGGGAGGGCTCCTAGGGGCGCTGCGGCCCCTATGAGGTCCTTTGAAGGCGCCGCTGCCCCTAAGGAGAATATCTGGGGACGCTGCCGCCCCTCGGTGGGCCTCTGGGAGCGCTATCGCCGCCGACCCTGGGAGGAATCCTGGGGGCGCCACCGCCCCTGCAAGGGCCCCTGGGGGCGCCATCGCCTCTGGAAGAGCCCCTGGGAGGAACCAAAGGGGCGCAGCCACCACTGGGAAGGCCCTTGGGGACGCCGCCGTCTTTGAGAGGGCCCCTGGGGGCGTTGCCGCCTTTGGGAGAGCCCCTAGGAAGACTCCTGAAGGCGATATCGCCCCTGGTTAAGTTCCTGGGGGTGCCGCCTCCTCTTGGAGGACCCTGTGGGCGCCGCCACTCCTGGGAGTGGTCCTTGGAACGCCGCCGCCCATTGGAGGGCCTCCGGGGGCGCCGCCTTCTCTGGAAGTGACACTAGGGGCGCCGCGGCTCCTGGGAGGTCCCTAAACGGCGCCGCTGGCCCTAAGGAGAACCCTTGGGGGCGCTGCTGCCCCTCGGTGAGCCCCTGTGAATGTTATCGCCCCAGGGAGTGCCGTTTCTGTTGTCGCCCCTCATGGGAGGGCTTTTGGGGGCGCCACCTTCCCTGGGATGGACCCGGGGGGGCACCATTGCCCCTGGCAGGGCTCCTGGGGCCTCAGTTGCCTCTGGATGGGCCCCTAGGTGCACCACCATACCTGGGAGAGTCTGTGGGGGCGCCACCGCTTTGAGTGGGCCCCTGGGTTGGCCGCTGCTCCTAAGGAGAAGCCCTGGGGTGCCGACGCCCATGAAGGAGTCCCTGGTGGCGCCATCGTCTCTGGCAGGGCCACTGGCATCGCTGCCCCCCACCCCCCTCCTAAGGAGGGCTCCCGGGGGTTCCGTTGCCCCTAGGAGGGCCCGAGGGGGCGCTACCGCCCCTGGGAAGGCTCTAGGGACCCCCAAGGCGGTGGCACCCCCAAGGATCCTTCCAGGGACGCCGGCTCCCCCCGGGACCTTCCCAGGGGACGGTGCCACCACAGGAATCCTACCAAGGTTCCCAGGGGACCTATGGAATGCTTGTTCATTGTGTCATATATATTATATACTTACAGCAGTCCCTTACTGAACTATGATTGGTGGACTATTATTTTAACCCACCAAATTACAGCCAAGAGGAGAGGAGAGGAGAGCAGTCAGTCAACACAACACCACAACTAATGATTTCCTGTTGGATAGTATTTTCCGTTACCTTCTTCAGAATGCGATGATACTGGAAATGTGATGGGCGGTGTATTTATTTAACGTTCATCTCCCAGAGTTCTAAATAGCGCAAAAACTACTGCACCCAGGGGTCCTACAGGTCTGGCGCTCCCAGAGCCCTCCTAGGAGCGGCGTCGCCCCCAAGGGCCATTTCAGGGGTGGCAGCACCACCAGGGACCCTCTACCAGGGGTGGTGGCATTCCCAGGGTCCTACACAGGGGCGCCACCAGGGATACCTTCAGGAACATCGGCGCTCCCAGGGACCCTCTTAACGGCGACGGCGGCGGCCCCAGTGACTCTCCCCCAATGGCACCAGCGCGTTCGGGACCCTTCCAAGGCCGGCGTCGCCCCCAAGGACCCTAACAAGGTCCTTCCCAAGGGCGGCGGTGCCCCATTTACCCTCCCAGGGGCGGTGGCGTCCCCAAGGACCTCTCAGGGGCAGCAGCGGCCCCAGGGACCCTCCCAGGGGCGGCAGCGCTTCCAGGGACCCTCTAAGGGACGGTGGGAAAATTATATAACTTTCCCAGGGGACGTGACGCCCCCAGGGGCCATCCTAGTGACCTTCCCAGCGCCGCGGCGCACATAGGGACCACCCAGGGTCTTTCCCAGGGGAGGCAGCGCCCCCAGAGACCTTCACAAGTATGGCGGCTCCCCCAGGGCCCCTCCCAGGGACAGTGGCACCCCCAGGGACACTCAGGGACAGCAGAACCCACAGGGACCCCCACGAGCGATGGCGCTCCGAGAGTTCTAAATAGTGCAAAAACTACCGCACCCAAGGGTCCTACAGATCTGGCGCTCCCAGAGCCCTCCAAGGAGCGGCGTCCCCCCCAAGTGCCATTCCAGGGGCGGCAGCAACCCCAGGGACCCTCTCCCAGGGATGGTGGCATTCCCACGGCTTTACACAGGGGCGGCAGCGCCCCTAGGGGTGGTGGCGCCACCCATTGCATAGGAGCCACCAGGGACCCTCCTAGAGGCAGTGTTGCCCCAGGAACACCGGCGCTCCCAGGGACCTTGTCAAGGTCGGCGGCGCCCTCATGGACCCTCCCAGGGGTGGTGGCGCACCCAGGGACCCTTTAAGGGGTGGAGGGGTTTCCAGAGTGCCCCTGGGAGCGCCACCCACTCTGGGGCCCCGGGGGGCGCCACTGCTCATGGGAGGGTCCTTAGAGGCGGGGGAGAGCTCCTGGGGGCGCTGAGGCCCCTGGGATTTCCCCTGGGGTCACTGCCACCCCTAAGGTGGGCCCCCTAGGGACACCACCGCCCCTGGCAAGGCCACTGGGGGTGCCACCACCCCTGAGAGAGCCCATGGTACTCCGCAGTCCCTGGGTAGGCCCCTGGGGGCGCCGATGCATTTGGGAGGGCCCTAGAGGGCGCTACCCCCCCTGGAAGGGCTCCCGGAGGCGCCATTGCCTCTGGTGAGGCCGATGAGGGCGCCACCGGCCCTTGAAGGGCCCCTGGGGGCGCCGCCGGCCCTTGGAGGGCCACTGGGGGCACCACCCTCCTGGGAAGGCCCCTAGAGGATCCGCCATCTCTCCACCTAGGAAGGCTCCTGGGGACGCCATCGCCCCTGGGGACGCCGCTGCCCCCTGGAGTGCTCCTGTGAGCGCCGTTGTCCCTGAGAGGGCCCTTAGGGGCGCAGCCAGCCCTGGGAGAGCCCCTTGGGACACTGCAGCCCCTGGGAGTTCCCTTGAAGGTGCCACTGACCTTAAGAAGAACCCCTGGAGGCGCTGCCGCCCCACGGTGGGCCCCTGGGAGCGCCATCGCCCCAGGGAGGGCCGATGAGTTCATCACCGCCCGTGGGACGGCCCCGGGGGCCGTCGCCCCCCATGGGAGGGCTTTCGGGTGCGCAGCCGTTCCTGGAAGGGACCCTGAAGGGCGCCACTGCCCCTGGCAGGGCTCCTCGGGTCGCAGCTGCCCCTGGGTGGGCCCCTTGGGGGTGCCACCACACGTTGGAGGGTCTGTGGGGGCGCCACCACCACTGGGAGAGCCCCTGGGTTGGCCGCTGTCCCTGTGGAAAGGTCCTGGAGGCGCTGTAGCCCATAGGCGAGCCCCTGGGGGCGCCACCAAAGCTGGGATTACCCCTGGGGGCGCCATCGACTATGGAAGGGACAAAGGGATCGCTGCCCCCCCCCCCTCCATAAGATGGCCCCTATTAGTGCCGTTGCTCCTGGGAGGGTCTGAGAGCACGCCAACGCCCCTGGGAAGGTTCCAGGGGGCGCAAAAGCTACTGGCAGGGCCCCTGGCGGCGCCACCGCACCTAACAGGTCCCCTGAGGGCGCCATTGTACCTAGTAGGGCCCCTGAGGGCGCCGTTGCCCCTGGCAGGGCCTCTTCGGTTGCAAATGCCCCTGTGACGGCCCGTGGGGCCACCACCGCTCTTGGGATTGCCCCTGGGGGCGCCACCGCCCGTGACAGGGCTCCTGGGGGCGCCACGGCCCCTGGCAAGGCCCCTGGTGGCACCATTGCCCCTAAGAGGGCCTTTGGGGTTACTGCCCCCCTAAGGAGGGCCACTGGGGTTGCTGCTGCTGCTCCTGTAAGGGCCCCTGGGGACACCAAGGCCTCTGGGAGAGCCCCTATGGGTCCCGCCTCATCTAGGAGGGCCCCTGGGGGTACCGACACCCATGTGAGGGCCCCGGCGGGCGGTTCCTTACCTGGGAGGGCCCTTAGAGGCGGGCTCAAGGGTCACCGAGGCCCTTGGGATTTCCTCTGGGGGCCCTGTCACCCCTAAGTTGGGCCCCTGGGTTCGCTGCCGCCCCGGGGAGGGTCTCTGGGTGAGCGGCTCCCCCTAAGGAGAGCCTCTTGGGACGCTACCTCCTCTGGCAGGGCCCATGGAGAGGCCACTGCCCCTGTCAGGGCCCCTGAGGTCGCCGCCCTTTCTAAGGAGGGCCCCTGTGCGCACAGCAGCTCTTCGGAGGGCCCCCTATGGGCGCCGCCACCTGTGAGGGCCGCGAATGGCGCCTCCGCATCTCGGAGGGCCTCTGGAAAAACTTCTGTCGGCGCCAACGCCCCTAAAGCCACATCCCCTGGTGATATCAGACAACCCCTGTTGATCTCAAACAACCCCTGAGGACCCCAGACAACCCCTGGTCATCCCAGACAACCCCTGGTCACTTCAGACAACCCCTGATGACTTCAAACTCCCCCAGGTCTCCCCAGGCAACCCTGTTGATATCAGACCATCCCTGGTGACTCCAGACATTCCAAGGGGGCCTCACACTAACCTTGATCACCCCAGACAACCCCTAGTAACCCCAGACAACCCTGGTGACCCCAGAAAACCCTGCAACCTCCAGGCTGTCACAGTGCACCCCTGACAACCCCTAAATGTCATCACATACCCTGATGATCTCCAGAACAGCCCCTGGTGATATCAAGAGCCCTGGGGCCTCAGAATAATCTGATTATTTAGAAGCCCACATTCCTCAGACAACCCTTAGTGATCTTAGATAACCCCTGGTGGGCCTGGGGAGACAACCCTGGAAGCTAGAGACAACCCTAGTCTCCTCCAGACTATCCGCAAGTAAACTCAGACAATCACAGTAACCCCTGACAATCCCACAATCTCCTTACCAATCCCTGGTTCAGTCTCAGAAAGAGAGCCACAGTGATCTCAGACTCTTCTGAGATCATCTGACAACCCTGGTGATCTCAGATATCACTAGGGACCCCAGACAGACAACCATGGTGTTCTCAGATAACCCTGGTGACCTCCAGACAACCCCTGGTGACCTCCAGACAACCCCACCAGTGAAGTCTGGGCATCACTCTGAGGGACCCCCAGATCCTGGTGCTCTCAGACAACCCCTGGTGATACTCAGACAACCTGGCAGCCAGGCACCTGGTGGGCCTCAGACAATACTCTGGTACAGATCTGCTCCCTGGTCACCCCAGCCTTGATAATCTTGAAAGAGCTGGGTGATAGAGACGGCCCCGGAAGATGACTTCAGATAACCCATGGTGATCTCAGACAGCCCCTGGTGATCTCAGACAAACACTTGGTGATCTCAGACAACCTCCAGTGACCTCAGACAATAACCTGGTGATCCCAGACAACCAATGGTAATCTCAGACACGCCCTGGTGGCCTCAGACATCCTCTGGCAACCTCACACTACCCCTGGTGACCATAGGCAAACTCGGTTGATCTCAGACAACCCATGGTGACCTCTGACAATCCCTGATTACCTCAGACAACCTTTGGTGGCCTCAATCAACCCCTAGTATCATCGAACAACTCCAGGTGATCTCAAACAACTCCAGGTGATCTCACATATCCCATGGCGACATCAGACAACCCCAGGTGACCTCAGACAATCTCTGGTGACCTCATTCAACCCCTGATGACCCCAGGCAACATCTGTTTACCTCAAATAATCCCTGATGATTTCAGACGCCCCCTGGTAATCTGAGACAGCCCCTTGTGACCTCAGACAACCTCTAGGGAGCTTAGACAGCCCCTGGTGAGCTCAGTCAACCCTGGAGATCTCAGACAACCCCTTCCCTTCAGACAACCCCTGGTGACCTCAGACGACCCCTGGTGACCTCAGAATACCCATGACGTTCTCAATCAACTCGTCTTGACCCCAGAAAACCTATGGGGATTTCGGAAAACCCCTGATGATCTCAGACAACCTCTTGTGACCTCAGGTAACACCTGGTGAGCTCAGACAACCCCTGGTGACCTAGGCAACCTCTGTTTACCTCAGACAACCCCTGTTAACCTCAGACTACCCTTGGTGATCTCAGACAACCCTTGGTGATTTCATTTAACCCATAGCATCATCGAACAACTCCTGGTGATCTCAGACAACCCCTGGTAACCTTAGAAACTCCCTGGTGACCTCAGATAACCGTTGATGATCTCAAACAACCTTTGGTAATCTCAGACAGCCTCTGGTGACCTCAAACAACCCCCGGTGACCCCAGACAACCCCAGATGACCCCAGGCAACCCCTGTTGACCTTACACAACCTATGGTGATCCCAGACCACCCCTGCTGAGCTCAGATAACTATGGTGATCTCAGACAACCTCTAGTGATCTCAGACAAGAACTTGGTGAACTCAGACAACCCCTTCTGACCTCAGACAACCACTGGTGATCTCAGAATACCAATGACGTTCTGATACAACCCTTGGTGACCCCAGACAAACCCTAGCGACCTCAAACTACCCCTGGTGACCTCAGATAACCTTTGGTGAACCATGATGATCCATGGTTACCTCAGACAACCCATGGTGACCTCAGACAACCCCTGGTGTTCTCACACAACCCCTGGTGACCTCAAATACCCGCTGGTGACCTCAGACAATCACTGGTGACCCCAGGCAACCTCTGTTTACCTCAGACTACCCCTGGTGTCCTCAGATAACTCTTGGTGATCTCAGACAATTTTTGGTGACCTCAGAAAACCCTTGGTGACCCCAGGCAACCCCTGTGGAACTCCGATAACCCCTGGTGATCTCAGACACGCCATGGTGACCCCAGACAACTTCTGTCGACCTTAGACAGCCCCTTGTGTGCTCAGACAACCCTTGATGACCTTGGACAACCCCTGGTGGCCTCAGAATACCCCTGACGTTCTCAGACAACCACTGTTGTTTCCAGACAACCCCTGGTGACATAGGCTACTTCTAGTGACCTCAGACAACCCCTGTTGACCCCAGACAACCCCTGGTGACCACAGACAACCACTGTTCATCTCAGACAACACCTGGTCATCTCTGACTACCCCTTTTGACCCCAGACAACCCCTGGTGATATCAGACAATCCCTGGTGATCTAAGAAAACACCTGGTTATCCCAGATAGCCCCTGGTGACCTTAGACAATCCCTGGTGACCTCAGACAACCCCTGGTATTCTCGAACAACCTCTGGCGACCCCAGCCAACCTCTGGTGATCTCAGACAACCCCTAGTATCACCAGACATCCCCTGGTGACCTCAGAGAAACCCTGGTGATCTCAGCCAACCTCTGGTGATCTCAGACAATCCTTGGTGACCTGAAACAAGTCCTGGAGACCTCAGACAACCTCTGGCGACCTCAGACTACCCCTAGTGACCACTGACAACCCCTGGTGATCTGAGACATCTCTTGTTGATCTCAGACAACCCCTAGTAGGGTCATTTGCTTGGTCTCTAATCAGTAATAGTATGTCTACAGGAGTATTAGTGTAAGTATTAATGTTGATAGAATTCAACAAGCCGTACATTGAGTGACCTACCGGTTCATATCCTTAATCTTTGCAAAGTTTGTTGTTAGATACCCTGGGCATAATCCATTGAAAATTTTGTAAGCGTAATTCAGGCTCAGTTGCTTCACTCTGATTGAAGAATTTTATGGCCATGTCAAGAATGAACCTCACCGCCTTGTTTTGAATAATTTGGAACTTGGGTTTTAGCTTCTGTGTTAGGGCAGAGTACCATGACAAGCAGGAATAGTCAAAGTGACATTGTATGAGTACCAAACAAATGGTCCTACGGGCACCTACAGAGGAATTTTATTTTGCCATTACCATTTTATCTATATTGTTCATGTTCTGGGTAATAAGTTCAATATACAGGAGCGAACACAAACACCTGTATAGATTTTGTAGGTTCTATTTACTGGATAAGAGATATGTACACAAGGGGAGTACCGCTCCTCAACCTGTCTGCTTGTCAACTGCTCTATAGACGACGTATGGCAAGTGATACATTAGCAGCTTCCATACGTCGCCAGGCACATTAATTAAGCATGTGGGACATTGATAAATACATTGCCACACGCTACTAGCTAGGCTAAATAAATAATACATAAATGGAGCACATACATAATATACATAGCATAATATAAATACAGCATACAGAATATACATACATATATCATCTATGATTAACTCACTAGACTTGACAAACAAAAGTCAAGAGTTAGTCCAAGGTATTTCACTGAGGCTACAGTCGAGATGGTTCATTCCCAGATCGTACAATGAATTCGTTTATATTTTTTAGCCTTCTTGTTTAACCAAATAGTATTGCTTCAGTTGTTCCAAAAAGTGGGGATAAGCTGTTAGCTATATCATTTTGATCTTTACCTGACACTAAAAGAGTAAAGTCATTGGCATACAGCAAAAGTTTACAATTAACAGTAATTGGCATGTCGTTTTCACAACACAAGAAGAGCAAAGATCCTTGAATCCTCCCTCAACAAGCATGAATGTTGACTCAGTGTTATTTGCAGTAACAATTTGTTTCCTGTTCTTAAGATATGATTTAAACCAGTCAAGAGACTCAATGCCAAGAGCCTGCAGTTTTTCACATAGTATATCATGATCGACTGTGTCAAAGGCTTTGTAAGTCGAGCGTTACCATACCTGTGTAATTTCCGTGAGCTGTTTGGGATCTGATGTCGTCAGTGGGATGGATCAGACTAGTGTCAGTTGAGTGAGAGCCCATAAAGCCTGGTTGGTAGCTGTACAAAATATTATACTCCCCGAGATCTTTCCACCTCGTTTGGTACAGCACTGAAGGCAATGTTTGTGCTCTCGTTCCCTGAGTCAGAGAAATGCTGCTTCTGCTCAGACAACACCTCCGCCAGTCTTGTGTAGAAGCGTCTTGCACTTGGTCCCATCCTGCCAGAGGTTATGAACACCAGAGGAGTGAAGCTGCCCTGATCCACATTCTGATTTTTCTCGCCGTAAGCCCTAATCTTGTCATTCTCTCCTATTGTGTGCCGCCTCAAGAGACAAGTTACGGTAACATGCGGCCATGGGGTCGAATATCCTAACATCAAAGAAGGATCACTGTCCCCGCGTCTCGATTCCTCGAACGCTGACGTCCACAGGGGCTTCGTTAGATGTGTTGGAAGTCCTGTGATGGAGAGTTTCACCGTCCAATGGAAGGAGGGCCGGTTCCACCGTGACGTCGTGGCAGATTTCCTTCAGTAAATTTGCTGTGAGATCCCTACTTCGCCATGCCTCATGCATACTAAGCCCCCTTTCTTACACACCATGGAGTGGTCAATGTCGTCGGATGAGTCACACACGCATTGGGAGGACAAACCATCTACTGGCCAACCGTATCTTAGAGCAATGACATCTGTGAATTCTTGTTTATTAAGGCCGAAACATTTTGCCCTTATTTGTGGGAGATCTTACCGCCGAGGACACTTTCTCCACACGCATCTTGTTACCAAACTTTCTGGCAACATCCTCAGTGTTTTGCTTTCCGTCTCCTATGAATTTTAGACTCCTGCAGTGTTCTAGTCTCGCGTAGATCGCCAAGAGCCCCTTTCCGCCACATTGTCAGTCTTTTATTCACTACTGCTACATTTTCTTTGTACTAAGTCCTTGCGTGTGTCCTGACAGAATAGATGGGGTATTCTTGCCAGTATTTGAAGAGCTAAAGGGCCAGGGCGGTGTCGTGAGTGTAACTGATTATGAGGCAAGTCATCTCCCGGGTTATTTCTTTAGTGGCCGCACACGTGGGTGGTTCAAAGAGGTTTGCTGGCCACCACTTGACCACTGATGAGTAAGCTTCTTTGACCCACTTCTCCGCATCGTGCCCTGACAAGCCTTTTCAGTTTGTTGACTGTATGTCATTCACCTCATGAACAGCATTTTCCGACTGAGTGGGTTCACTACTATCGTCTGACATGTCATCAGGTGATGGATCTCTGCCGTAGGGATATTGACTGCTAGACCTTTTCCTACAATCCACACATCGTGTGTTACTTCTCACACAAACACAGGTTGTGCATTTCTGATTCCGGCCTGAGTAATAACAAACACATTTCCCAGCCATGATGCCGAACTGGGAGAGGGAGAGTAGTGGAAGGGGTGTTGTTTGGGAAGGGAGGGGAGGAGGGTAAGTTTTGGTCTACTGACCGACGGGGCAGAGCTGGGTACGGGGCGGGACTGGGCTGGGTGGTATGAGGCGAGGCAGGACGGGGCAAGCGGGACTGTTATCACCCTTGATCAGGTTGGGTTACAAGCCACGGCCTACGTGGCACTAACCATCGCCACCTGCTATACAGTCACCGGCTCTCCAATGACAATGATTGATTGAAACAGTTTATTTAGCCAGAAAAACACAGATACGATAATAATAATGATATAACATGGCTGAGCCAAATGAGTTCCAGAGCTCTCTTGTAGGCACCTGATATATACTGTACATTTATCTCAAGGAAGTATTATGTAACATTTAGTATTATCTGGAATAGTACAATAGCATGGTGGTAATAAGAACATCTCATAATGTTACCACGGTTATCACTTATATTATAAGTATATACAAGTTACAGTGGAATTGAAAAACATAAATATAATGAGGGAGGCAGTACAACATGGGTGGTATTAAGGTTGAACAAGAGGACAGAGCTGTAAGGATTACGTCTGTTTGGCAAATATATTTTTTGCAACGTTAATTTTTATCTATGTACGTGATAATTTCTGATAAACCGGTTTCGGTGGTACAATAAGAGGAGGTATATAAAGTAGGTATTACAAGAAATATTAACACTTAGACAATAGATATTTTTTAAGAGATAATTTAAAGGAGGCCCACAGGTGGATGACACTGTGATTACTTCAAGCACTACACATTCACAAGTAATAATTCCGGTAGTTCTGGAAGTTTGCCCCTTGAAGACCCCGGTTTTTGACGGAAAATTTGGAGCTATCACGACCCATATCCTCCCACTACTACAACAACTACTACTACTGATAATACTAATGATAATGATAAGCCCGAGACTGCTGTAAACGTCGATATGGATTGAGGATAGATTAATGATGTGTCATATGGGTAATAAAACTCTGGTTCATTTGCATAATACATATAGTTAATATAGTAGGTGAGGGGGGACAGTGCGATCTGGCGGTAGAGTCTGTCACTACACTGGCCACGAGGCGGACGTTGGCTGAGGCTGAGAATAACCCCGTCTCCAACGCCTTCCTCACCACCCCAAATACCCTTACATCATGGTAAGTGCTTCAACACTCTCACATCATGGTAAGTGCTTCAACACCCTCACACCATGGTAAGTACTTCAACACCCTCACTCCATGGTAGGTGCTTCAACACCCTCACACCATGACAAGTGCTTCAACACTCTCACACCATGGTAAGTGCTTCAACACCCCCACACCATGGTAAGTGCTTCAACACTCTCACATCATGGTAAGCTGACACCCTCACACACCATGGTAAGTGCTTCTTCACCCTCACCTGCATGGCAGAGGCTTCAACACCCTCACACCATAGTAAGTGCTTCAACACTCTCATATCATGGTAAGTGCTTCAACACCCTCACATGTGACAAGTGCTTGCCTCACACACCACCATGGTGGTGGCCCAACACTCTCACATCCCCGGTAACACTCTCACATCATGTTAAGTGCTTCAACACCCTCACTCATGGTGTGCTTCAACACCTCACACCATGGCAAGTGCTTCTCAACAACAGTCTCACATCATGGTAAGTGCTTCAACATGGCACCCTCACCATGGTAGTGCTTCAACACCCTCACACCATGGTAAGTGCTTCAACACTCTCACACCATGGTAAGTGCTTCAACACCCTCACACCATGACAAGTGCTTCAACACCCTCACACCATGGTAAGTGCTTCAACACTCTCATATCATGGTAAGTGCTTCAACACCCTCACACCATGACAAGTGCTTCAACACCCTCACTCCATGGTAGGTGCTTCAACACCCTCACACCATGGCAAGTGCTTCAACACTCTCACATCATGGTAAGTGCTTCAACACTCTCACATCATGGAAAGTACTTCAACACCCTCACTCCATGGTAGGTGCTTCAACACCCTCACACCATGGCAAGTGCTTCAACACCCTCACACCATGGCAAGTGCTTCAACACCCTCACACCATGGTAAGTGCTTCAACAACAACTTCCAAGATCAGCAATATTAAAGAACGCATGTCAGGACCATTATCACATCCGTATTATATAACATCCTATGTGACTTGTACCTGCAGATGCCAGGGATGTGGCTGGTGGTTATGGGCGTAACGTTGGTTATGGTTGCCAGCCACGCCCTCACCTTCCAGGAGAAATATGACATCTGGAGTCAGGATCTGGTGAGTACTGGAACAGGACATTTGCCTGTAATAAGTTAACACTGTCTCCCAAGTTAAAACTAAACACTAGAATATACTGGTATTTGATATGCACCAGAGATAACCATTATAAATATATTCAAGGATCATAGCTTTCAGGGAAGTTTGATATTCTCAATTAACTGTAGAAAATTATAGAAAATAATCTGGCTTTGTATGAGAGTAAAACAGATGTAATGTAAGAATTAATAAAGCGTTCTTCTTTGTATTATTACTACAGTACAGTAAAGTACCTCGAACCATTAATTTTACTACTGGAAGATAAAGCATTTCAAAATAACCACCGAGCAGTGATTCGTTAAAGACTCCTTCGGTTGAATTTCATTATAATCATTAATGTGTTGGAGTCTCGCCAGGTTTTAGCCGCCTCATTGCTAATAGTTTTATTTAAGCTTTCATTATCATACAGTAATTGTCCTCTATAAATATCCCGTTTGTTTAGTAGGGCATTTCCTCACCACACAGAAACCTGACTTCACCATTCAAACCACACTGAATGAGGATGGTAGACGCTGCTACTGTAAAGTTCCCGATATTAATACGACAGTAACTACAATAGTTCCTACAACATCAACTACAACTTCAACTACAACAACACCAACTACGGCAACACTTACAACAACATCAACAACTTCAACAACAACATCAGCAGCATTAACACCAACAACATCATCATCATCAACGGCATCAACATCAACATCATCGATAAAATCAAGAACAACACCAACAACGACATCAACAACATCTACAATAGCAACACCAAAAACAACAACATCAACGGCATCAATATCAACATCAACGACAAAATCACCAACAACAACATCATCGACATCAACAACAACAACACCAACAACATCAACAACAACAACATCAACATCAACGACATCAACAACAACACCAACAACAACATCAAAAACTTCAACAACATCAACTTTAACATCATCCCCATCAACGACATCAACAACATCTACAAAAACAACAACACCAACAACAACAACATCAACATCAACAACAACAACATCAACATCAACGACATCAACAACATCTACAAAAACAACAACACCAACAACAACATCAACTACATCCCCATCAACAACACCAACAACATCAACATCAACAAAAACAACTACAACATCATCAACAAAAACAACTACAACATCATCAACAACAACAACATCATTAACAACATCAACATCATCAACAACAACAACATCAACATCAACATCAACATCAACAACAACATCTTCAACGACAACAACAACAACATCAACAACATCATCAACGTCAACATCAACAACAACATCTTCAACGACATCAACAACATCTACAACAACATCAACAACAACATCAACATCAACATCAACAACAACAACATCAACATCAACATCAACAACAACATCTTCAACGACAACAACAACAACATCAACAACAACATCTTCAACGACAACAACAACATCAACAACTTCAACAACAACATCATCAACAACAACATCAACAACTTCAACAACAACATCTTCAACAACAACATCATCAACAACATCATCAACAACTTCAACAACAACATCATCAACAACAACATCAACAACTTCAACAACAACATCTACAACAACAACAACATCTTCAACGACATCAACAACACCTACAACAACATCTACAACAACATCAACAACAACAACAACATCTTCAACGACAACAACAACACCTACAACAACATCTACAACATCATTAACAACATCATCAACAACATCAACAACATCTTCAACGACAACAACATCAACAACATCTTCAACGACAACAACAACAACATCAACAACTACTTCAACAACAACAACTACAACATCAACAACACCATCAACAACTACTTCAACAACAACAACTACAACATCAACAACTTCAACAACAACATCTTCAACAACAACAACAACATCGACGTCTACCACAACAGTACCTGCAGACGGTAAGACCAAGGTATATTTTATTACTCCCTCTTAGTGTCTTGATGCCCACACCAGAACGTATCGGTCGGCGGCTCTCCTCACCTACTCTGTGTTTGAGAAGAGTATTGATACACACGAGTTAGTAAAAGTTATTATGGAGATTCTTGGTGTGAAGGTTGGCTCTATGAGAGGGACCTACGAAGCCTGATACAACGAATGGGTATTTGATTCTTAATCAAGAAGTTTGTTTTACTTTAGCTCTGAGTACCTGAGTGGATAACGATCGTATATCTCTCGAATGGGGGCACGGCCCAGGTTCACTCTTTGCTGGTGTGTGTTCTTCTTCTTAATGTGTTAATGTTTCAGTTATTGAAGTAACCATCATCACAACAATGTGTGGAAAGAGAAACAATAATGTGCTGTGCAACCAAATGGAGCCCAAGTATGTATTAATATTTAAACAAACGACAACCGATTATAACAATCAGCAAAATCAATGACATTATACAATCTTGACTCGAGAAAAGTTGAAATACGCAGTTAAGCGTTGTTGTAACACATTGGTTAAATAAATTACAGGAATACACAATCAATTCAACTTACCATTCTAGAAACACGAGTTCATTTGACTGTTTATTTCTGAAGATCGCTGCAGCGGTTTTGCTGTTCACCTGATGTGTTCATTGTTATCACGAGATTAATAATAATGTCAATTCAGTGAGATTTTCCTGTAAAGGGATAACTTCTTCCAGTACTTGAATGAATTGAGTACACCAGGTGTCCTTAGATTTAAGATGACCGACACTGAATACCGTTCCATCAACCAGAAGTGACATGGTGGAACATCCATACAGCCTGGCAAGATATTGGAAGCATAATGTGTTGTCTAATGGTAGACCCTGCTGCCATATGTGACCAAGTTCCAGGTTGATGATCTGACTTTCTGCCTCATTTACACACAATTGCAGGATCTCAATTGTTCTCTTACTTTGACAACACAACATACATATATTGTTTCTCACTATTTTTTTTTTAATTTTCGTATTTCTTTATTTTTATTATTATTATTATTATGTACCTCTTACATCCAAAGCATTACAGAAAAATAAAAGTGGTGTTTTGTTCTGAGGGAGGAGGGGTATCTTCTTAAAATAAGGCTCTTTTTTCAAAACCACTACACTGCTGGTTAAAAAAAACCCTCCCAGGATACATGAGGAAATAATCGAGATAATGGTGTTTTTCTTTTTAAACCCATCTATAAATTCAACAATGTACGGAGATATAATTATATTTTGTCTGTCTAGCCACAGTAGGCAGGAATTTTCATGCTATTTAATTTAAGAGTGTGGAGACTGCAACATGGATATTACCATTTTGCCCAAGAACTACGACAAGGGAAAGGCGTACTCATTCACTTGGACGTCACCCAACTACCCGCAATCATACCCAGACGGCTGTACCTGTGTCCTCACCACCACGGTAATCACTCATACAACAGTACAAGATAACGTCACAGTGTTTTACATGATTGCACCCACGTCATCAGTCTTTGTTATGTACAAGGTAGCACCAGTCTATGTTATGTACAAGGTAACATCTATAACACCAGTCTCTGTTACGTACAAGGTAGCACCAGTCTCTGTTACGTAGAAGGAAGCACCAGTCATGTTATGTACAAGGTAACATCTATAACACCAGTCTCTGTTACGTACAAGGTAGCACACATTATTCCTCAACCTCCCATTGTTAATCTCTCATCCAAATTGCCGATAATTCATCAATAACATCCAAATCCTGAACTTTCCGTAACCAATCCTAATCCCCATTCCTTTCATTGTTATCCTCAACCATCTCATACTAATCTTCAATCCACATTTACTAATATTAACCTTCCCATTGCATTTCTTGACCAGTTCATACTAATTCTTATTGACACCATCGTAAAGCTTCTCACCCCAGAGAACTCGCAGCCAATATCATTCTGCTGCTGGGTGAAGGCTCCTCCCGTTTCACACCACCAACACCTTATATCTTCAGCCTTCTTTACCTCCTGAATGTATCCAACCTTCCTAACTTCATCTATCCATCTCATAGCTGGTCTCCCTAACTTCTTTTATGCAGTGTTCACTTAACATTGTGGTGGTATTTTTTTTCGTAAATATTTTGTAAACATGATATTCCCTTGTTGTTTCCTATCGGCCATCTCTTGTTTAACACTCTCGGACATTTCTTCCAATTACTCCTTTGTGCTTTTTCTCCCTCAGACACATCCTCACCTGTAGGTACCCGCATTAAAATCCTCCTTTGTTTTGTCCTGGAAGTTAGGAGTTCATTTCAACCTTTCTTTGTTTCTTATAAATGTGAATTGATAACACTGGATATTCGTCGAGACATTTCTGTATAACGTCAATCATTCTTCATGATTTGTTTTATTCCTAGACTTTTTCTTCACATTAATTCCCCCTGTTCTTCTTTCCAAAATTCTTTATAGGCTTAGAAATAATATAATCCTACGATATCGTTCAATTTCTTTTGATTTACCGCACATAAATATTTGGCATTCAACAAAGATTCCGATCAGATAATTGACAACTTTCTATGTTTGGTATTGATGTAACTCATATTGATTATGATATGTCCCGGTAATTTTCACACAGTTTGTTGCGTCTTCAGGACTTTCTTTAGTTGGTTGTATTATCTAAAATTCATGCCATTGGATGTTTATTGCACGACACTAACTAGTTTCTCCGAGGTCCTTTATACCTTCCATCATGCTATTCTTTAGTTCATCTCCAACATGTAGTATATATGACCAATATTATTCTTAGTGTCAACCGTTATTATTCTATTCACGTATCTTCATTTAATCCTACGATGCCTCACTTTGTTTGGACAACCCAATTATTCGTCAACACACGCACTTGCTATGCTCTATTGTCACTTTAAGGCGGCCCGAATAAACCCTCACCAGACCTTCATATGTGCATGAAGCAAATAGAGATTTTGCTATACTTACACCCAGGTGTATCAAAGAGACATATAAACTATTATGAAACAATATTAGATAGATGCCATTAATATTTTTCTAGATGACGATGGTTGGATTTGTCATGTTCAGTGTGAAGGCAGGATCCGAAATCGCTGACTTCAGTAACTGCGCCGAAGACAGGCTCACTTTTGTTGGTGACACCAGCTTCAAAGGGTGAGTCGACCTTTTGTTTTACAGACTGTTTACTTAAATTCCATAACGTTTTGTGTTCTTAGTCTCTCATGAGAAGTAATACATCATTGTATCCTTTACCACTTCTTGTGATATATACTCACAAGGGGAATTGTAATGGGTTCCGTTTTTATGGCTCTAGTGTTCTTGGTGGCTGTAGTGTTCTTGGTGGCTGGAGTGTTCTTGGTGGCTGGAGTGTTCTTGGTGGCTGGAGTGTTCTTGGTGGCTGTAGTGTTCTTGGTGGCTGTAACATATATAGTGTGCTTGGTAGGTGTTCTTGTTGGCTGGAGTGTTCTTGGTGGCAGTGTTCTTGGTGGCTGGAGTGTTCCTGGATATGGCTGTAGTGTTCTTGGTGGCTGTGTTCTTGGTGGCTGGAGTGTTGGTAGTGTTCTTGTGGTAGTGTTCTTGGTGGCTGTATTGCTGTAGTGTTCTGGCTGTAGTGTTCTTGTTGGCTGTAGTGTTCTTGGTGGCTGTAGTGTTCTTGTTGGGTGTGTTGGCTGTAGTGTTCTTGGTAGTGTTCTGGAGTGTTCTTGGTGGCTGTAGGTATAGTGTTCTTGGTGGTAGTGTTCTGCTGTAGTGTTCTGGCTGTAGTGTTCTTGGTGGCTAGTGTGGTGGCTGTAGTGTTCTTGTTTGTAGTGTTCTTGGTGGCTGTAGTGTTCTTGGTGGCTGGGTGTTCTTGGTGGCTGTAGTGTTCTTGGTGGCTGTAGTGTTCTTGGTGGCTGTAGTGTTGGTGGCTATGTTCTTGGTGGCTGGAGTGTTCTTGGTGGCTGTAGTGTTCTTGGTGGCTGTAGTGTTCTTGGTGGCTGTAGTGTTCTTGGTGGCTGTAGTGTTCTTGTTTGGCGTGTTCTTGGTGGCTGTAGTGTTCTTGGCTGTAGTGTTCTTGGTGGCTGTAGTGTTCTTGGTAGTGTTCTTGGTGTAGTGTTCTTGGTGGCTGGAGTGTTCTTGGTGGCTGGAGTGTTCTTGGTGGCTGGAGTGTTCTTGGTGGCTATAGTGTTCTTGGTGGCTGGCGTGTTCTTGTTGGCTGTAGTGTTCTTGGTGGCTGGCGTGTTCTTGGTGGCTGGCGTGTTCTTGGTGGCTGGCGTGTTCTTGGTGGCTGTAGTGTTCTTGGTGGCTGGAGTGTCCTTAGTGGTCTTAGTAATGGCCGTCAAGGTAATACGCTAAATGGCTCTGTATTAACACTGTGTTTCAGGAACAAATGTGACGTTTTCCCTAGCACCTACACCACATACCTGGTCAACATGGTCAACCCGACTGTACCTAAGGTGTCAACTATTACCTTCGTGTCCAGCTTTAATGACGGCAACACTGTAGCAAAAGGCTTCTCCATGACCATACTAGGTAACCTGCTCCACTCTGTATATACCGTACTCTCACATACTTTTATAACAATAGGAACCAACTTCAAGGATGGGACATTATCTTTCATTATAAATATGATATTACACGATTAATGCATACCAAGGTTACTCAAGTACTCTTAAGTGTTTGGTTCTATGAGGACTTACAATACGAGTGTGTGTGTGTGTGTGTGTGTGTGTGTGTGTGTAACTTGTCAGTGTGTATGATTAGGTTTGTGTGTAATAATAATGATAATTTCCTGTACTGGTTATGTTAATCTTACAATATTTGCATTTGTTTCAGTTTCGACCAACTAATCAGGGTAACTCTCGTCGACCGCTGGATAGGGTGATGGTGGGTGGTCAGGCGAATGACAGGAACAACTACCCTTGTGGATGACAGGAACAGCTACCCTGGTGGATGACAGGAACAACTACCCAGGTGGATGATAGGAACAGCTACCCAGGTGGATGACAGGAACAGCTACCCAGGTGGATAGCTACCCTGGTGGATGACAGGAACAACTGTGGAATGACAGTAACAACTACCCTGGTGGATGATAAGAACAACTACCCAGGTGGAATGACAGGAACAACTACCCTTGTGGATGACAGGAACAGCTACCCTGGTGGATGACAGGAACAACTACCCAGGTGGATGATAGGAACAGCTACCCAGGTGGATGACAGGAACAGCTACCCAGGTGGATGACAGGAACAGCTACCCTGGTGGATGACAGGAACAACTACGCAAGTGGAATGACAGTAACAACTACCCTGGTGGATGATAAGAACAACTACCCAGGTGGATGACAGGAACAACTACCCTTGTGGATGACATGAACAACTACCCAGGCATATGACTGGAGCAAGTGCCGAGGCTAACGATTGGAACAGCTACCCAGGCGACTAAAGTAGAAACTGTCCTGACAGAGATGGAATAACCACAAGCGTACGAAAAATTTCAGATGCATTTTCTCTCTGTTCACACTCTTAACCTGGAATGACCTCTCCAGTACACCTACCCGCATAGTTGGGTCTGGGTGGTGAGCGATCAATCTTTGTACCCATGCCAGTGAACTAAGTCACGATAGTGCCTAATGAGAATGAGAGGTACTCGCTGTTGACGTATAAAATTTCAGTGTGGAAGATGTTATACGACTTTATAGATATATAGCTTGACAGACAGACAGATAGATATTTATTCAGTAAATTTTTCATAAAAGTTCACGTTGCTTCACCATGTGCTACAAGTACTGCACATAGACAGTGTTGGTTTAGAGTGGAGTGAAGGTTTAATATTTTTACTCACAATTCGCTCTGTTATTCCTCCAGTAGCGGTGACATTTCAACCACAAAATGAACGGAATTCAGGTATATTAAAAGAGTAGCACAAAGTAACATGATTCCTGGGAAAGGAAAGGAGAAATGAATAAATTTGCCACAAATATTTGAATAATTTCTAATCAATTTTCGAAGCCATAAATGTAATTAGACTTGTCACCAAGGCATGAAATGATAAAGTAAAATTATACGTTCAGTTGCCCCTTGTCTGAGGTCATCCACTTAACCTTGGCAACCTGTTAACCAAAATCTTGAAGAAAGTAAATGAGATTTTGAATTATTTACACAAGCCATAATATTTATAACTGGTTCTTAAACGTCTTGTTATTGTTATCTCTTGTTGTAGTGCTGTGTCATATCTTCCACTGTTCCGAGGGAGGGTTAACTGGTAGGCATACATACTAAACAACAGATTCTTCTCAACTCACACCCCGTAGGGTTGTACACTATTTGAAGATCAGTTATTCTTGGGTTCATTTATCGTTTAATATAGGAACCAGTGTTTAAAATTTAATAGTTTTTTGGTTAATATGTATAAGCACAAAATAAAATGTTGTAACATTAGGATTTTACTTACAGTTCTCTATTTTGGTTTATTCTATAATTAATTATTTCTTCATTACTTGTATAAATACGGAGTCTTAAAAACAGCCAATATATTAAACAAGTCGTGAATGTATGGCCTCCATGATATTTGAAAACAATGAATATCTTATAGAAACTATGGGTACATCTAACTAGCTTCAGTTGGTGAAACAAACATTGGGCTGTATATTACTTCTCATAACTCGCATCTTCCTCCACTGTCATTTAACTGTCTCCCTATCCTCTTCCCCGTCAACACTGTCCCCTTTCCTTACACCACATTCCCCACCATCCACTAGTTACTAGGCCATTCTCCAATCCATTAATTTAGCGATTTTCACGTGTGTGTGTGTGTGTGTGTGTGTGTGTGTGTGTGTGTGTGTGTGTGTCTGTCTGTCTGTCTGTCACCGAAAGGATTATCATCTCTCTCTCTCTCTCTCTCTCTCTCCCTCCTGTGTCTATCTGTCACACATGTAATCCAGTGCGTATGTGCGCACACACACACACACTTCCACCACTACTTTGCTGTCACTGGGAATCGAGTATGACGATCATCCAGCTATGATACAATGGTACGAGTTATTAAGGATGTCACCTTCATTGGTGAGCTCTGAGGTTACTCAAGAGGGTACGGGACCGGTAGGGTTGTCCACAGATGTTACACGTGTGGAGGGCTGCATCTAGTGCGGGAGGGGCGGCGGCATCGTCTTTCCAGCGTTGGTGCTTGTCTGCCTCGGTATGCAGTCGGGCTAACTCGAAAGTATTGACACCTTCTCGTGTGGTGCTCCTCCAAGCGTTACGGTGTGGAGAGATAGTCTCCCAGGTGAGGGGGTCGATTTGGTATTTCTTCAGGTTTGTCTTAAGACTATCCTCATACCTTTTGAGGTGCCCGCCAGCGTTACATTTACTATTCGTTAGGTGACTGTAAAGTAGCTGTTTTGTCAGTCTACTGTCGTCCATGCGGGTAATATGGCCAGTCCAACGTAGTTGTTCATGGACAGTGATAGCCTCGATGCTCCTACAGTTGGTGTGAGCGAGAATACTGGTATTTGTTCTCTTGTCTTCCTAGCGAACTCGGAGGATGGAACGTAGACTACGTTGGTGAAAGCTTGCAAGTACCTTGGGGTGCCTCCTGTATGCGACCCATGTCTTACTGCCATAGAGCAGGGTGGGAAGGACCACTTTTCGGTACACATGCAACTTTGTAGATAATTTCAGCTCCCTGCAGCTGAAGATATGGGTATGGTGTCTGCCAAAGGCCTGAGATGCACATCTGATCCGATGTTGAAGCTCTACATTGATGTCAACGGTGGTGGACAGGTGGGAGCCATGGTAATACCATTAAATTTGATTGATGGTGGAGGTGTGGCTTAGCCTAAGGTAGGTTGAAAGAGAATCCGAGTCTTATGTATATTCACCTCAAGGTCGAAGTGTGCATATACATCTGCGTAGGTGATCAGGATCTCTTGTAGGTTGCGATCAGTATGAGCGACTAGGGTGAGGTCGTCTGCATCCTGAAGTTCATTGATAGAAGCGGCCGACACCTTTGCTCCTAACTGGAGTCGTCTTATATTGAAAAGTTCCTTCATCCGGTACTGGATGTCCACCTCGCCGGCTAAATTGGAATTGCCACGAGTAAGGAAGGCAGCCTAAAAAAATGGAAAAGAGAGTTGGTGCCAATACACATCTTGGTTTTACCCCCATTTGGGTGGGGAAGAACTCAGACTGGGTGCCATTGTATAGGAAACTGTCATTCATATCATCCTGGAGTTGCCTCACAGTGGCAATGAATTTGGGTGAGCAGAGAAAACGACTGGCTTCCCTGTTGACAAAATAGAAATCCTTAGTAAGGTCAATGAAGGCCATGTACAAGTCATGGAGCTGTTCTTTGCACTTTTCCTGTATCTGACAGGCAACAAAGATCATGTCAGTGGTTGCCACGTGATGGTCTAAAGCCACATTGAGATTCTGGGAGGAAGTTTTCCGCCTCAAGGAGAAGTGTTTTTAGGAGGAATCGAGCGATAATCCTGCCAGTTATTGACAGCAGCGAGACCCTGAGGTAGTTCCCACAGTCTGACCGGTCTCCCTTATTCTTATAAATATTGGCGATCGAAACGTCTCCAAGATCTTGGGGAAGTTTCTCCTTTTCCCATATATTCTCCAGGAGAGAGTGGAGACGGCTGGTAGGCAGAGGTCCTCCTGCTATATACACCTCAGCTGGAATTCCATTAAGCCGTGAGGCTTTGTTATTTTTCATCTGCTTGATGGCAGTAGCTACCTCATCCAGGGATGGAGGATAGCTGAGGTGGGTCAGCCCTGGGTGCTGAGGAACTTGCTGGGTAGTCAGAACATCAACATCGGTCGACCGCATTAGGATGACCTTACTGGGTGCGGTTGCCCAGTCAGGTTGTTTTTTTAGGTAGGCTATGTTTAGGGCACCTTGTCTAGCCCCCTCCCCATGTGGGGTGAGCAAAGTGATTCCTTGAAAGGGCTGCTCAATCGCACAGACAGGACCGGAATGCACTGCTGTCTTGATTCCAGTGCATAAACGACCATCTTATCTGTGCCGCCCATGTGCAGAGTTGTGACTAGAGACTCCCGGCAGTCATCTCTGCCTGTCCCCGTGGCCACTCGTCTGGTGTCATACGTCTTTTGGGGGTATAGGGGTCTTGATGATGATGAGGAGCTGGATGATGGCTGTGCGAGAGCTAATATTTTTAGTGAGGCAGGAGCGCAGGCTGCAACCACATACCTTGGTTCTTCCTTCTCCTGATCCAGTGGTACAAGTAGTTGCAACGACTGGGGAGAGGGAGAGTTGCAATGGACTGCCGATAGCCCAGTTTCTTGGGTTTTGCCTTAGTAGCCTGTTCATCTTGCATTGCCTTCATCCGCCGGTCTAGTCGTTGGGTTCCCATGGTGGTCACCTCTTCCACCTATACTGCCGTTGCGACTTATTGCAGCTCTGTAAGTATGTCTGCCTGATGCGGGGCTCCACAGCAGATTTTTCGTTCAGGGTTTACTCCCGTAGCCTTATACCTGCCAAGGTTAATCCGCAAGGGAGCGGAGCAGTGGTTGGTAGGCGCCAGGACGTGTCTACTTGCCGGTGGGCCTGTGCTCCGTCCCTCTGGGCCCCACTGCTGCTCCGAGATCCCCTGCTGGTCTAGCCAGGGCTCACGAGGCACACAGTTACCGTGTGTTGCCACGAGGAGGCACAGCTGAAGTCTTGATTGTGAAGAGGCTGTGTACTGGCAAAGGAAGACTTACGCAAATGGTGCTTCCCTGATCACCACGAGGGTTAGCCAGCGGCAGTACTTGAAATCGAGAGGAAGCAAGCAGTGCTTGCACCTTAACACTAACCTAGTTCTGCCACACTAGACGCATTACTCCACCCTACACACACACACACACACACACACACACACACACACACACCCACCCCAGATTTCACACCTACTAAGCACTAGTGCAGGGCTGAATAAGGCAAGCTGAGACCCTAAGCTGTGTTAAATGTTAAAAGTACTAAGTACTATAATTTAATATTTTATATATCAAATTGCTTTAGC